GCGTTGAATCGAGGCGAATCGACTCGAGTCGCATTTTATTCGTTGTGGGTAAATTTCAGCCGAATCGAATAGACTCGCTCATTTATCGCAACTCGTCAGCAAAGTAGGTTGTGAATGCGCTCCGATCTTTTTAACTCTTAAAGTGTTAGTATAAACCTACACAAATAAATAAAATTGAAGTATCTGTTGTTTCTTACTAATGCACATGAAAGTAAATACGGCACTTATCAGAAAAACACATTTTTTTTTAATTTTTGTCTGTTGTTTGTTCTGGCTAATCTCCAAAACGGCTGGATAGATTTGGACGGGACTTTCACTAGTAGACACCTGAGGTTTTAAGGAGTAATTAAGGCTACTTTTATTATAAAAAAAGAATTACGGTTCCGCAAAAAAAATTAAAACGTACCTAGGAACGAATCCTAGAGAAACGCGGGTAAATATATAGTATACAGTATAATAGTATAGTTATATAATGAAATATAATATAGTTAATTATAGTTACTTTTCACGAAACATTTACCTACGTTTCGTTTCTAAATAAAATACAAAAAACTCGTCGCTGCGCTGGCGATTCCCCACGTCGATTAAGGCGCGCCGAAGCGACTCGAAACGCGTCGCCGAAGAAAGACGCCTGACGAGCAATGCGCCAGGCATTAGTATTTGTATTCTTTCAATCTGTTCATAAATAAAAAAAGTTATGTCGATTTAAAATTAAAACAAAAAAACACAAGAAACGTTTATTGAAAAAAATGTGTGTATACTAAGTATGTACACACGTAAGAAGTTATAAGTACTTTTTTGTTTTTTTAAGCTATTGCATAGCTTCTATCGCGGGCCTTGAGCGTGGGAACTGAATCCAGAAATTCCGTAACGAAAAAACCTAACACCCCCCACTCAGATTTGACATCTGACATCTGACGTTTCTGACGATCTGACATTTGACATCTGTTTCGGTAAGAAGTAACACATTTGCTTGCCTCGTAACTGAATCTTGTAAATCGTATTTGTGACTACTTAGACTTTGGCAGTTGAAAGTAATTATTGAAATGCCATTTCTATTACAATTGAAATCTAATACACTTTGAGCTATCGTCTGAACACTATTTAGAGACAGTCTTTTGAATTCTTGCAACAAAGATGCAGTCGATGCAGCTTGCTTTCGAAAATATTGAATTTGAGAATGAATAATGATCTACAAGAATCCACAACAAAATATGGAACCATTGACGCGGTATTTTCCAGATATTTAGAAGATATCAAGTCTCAAACTTATGTTTCTTATTTCAGTTACCATAAACCTATAGTTTCAATGATAAATATTCCTGAAGAACCGACATGTATTGAAAGATAATAAAAATATTTTGAACAATATTAACATCTCATTTATTTAATAAAAGAAAAAAATTGTTTTTTTATCGGTCACCACGCTCAAAGTGTAACTTGAATTAATATCAAAGAAAAAAAAACAAAGGAAAAAAAATACTGCATTAATAAAATAAATAAATAATTATAATTGCATAAGTTGATAAAAAATGCTATGCAATAGCTTTACCGCGGCAGTCTCCGAGTGCCACACGTCTTTTTTAGAGCATTTAATAAAAGCTTGTTTTTTTTAATATTTAAACTTTACCTAACCCTTTTATTTGATATCCATATCATGGGGCTTTAAAATAAACAATCGGCCATATTAAATTTTATAATGAGGTCATTTTGCTTATTGTTTTGCGCTTATCAAGCCTATTCCCTTTCATTTGATGCCCATATCATAAGGATCATAACGATGTGTGCCAAATTTCAGCTCTATCGGGCAATGGGAAGTGGGTCAAATTTAACTTGGTAGATTTGAGTACAGACAGACACCGAGACAGGTGAAACTAAATAAAAGCTTATATTTATCTGTATAAAATATGTTTTGTGTATATAGAAACGTCAGAATAAATATCTTGAATATAGACATCTCAGTATACTAAAGGAATATTTAAGGACTAACTTCACACTGTTACCAATAATTTTTATTTGTCATCCATGCCAATAACGACTGACTTCATATAATACTAGTCTAAATCTGTCGCATAGTAAAAAAATTACTCTCATCATCCATTTTTTTGTAGTACTCATTTGTAAACTTTATTTACGTCTGGGAATTAAGCCCGGGATGGGATTTAAAACCGTAAATTCGTCGGGCGATTTGCAAGTATTATTAAAAATTACTCAATAAATACATGATTAAAATTTCAGATTGCCAAAAATATATTTTTGGGAATTTTAATAAAGTATCTTTGGAGAGGTCTGGCAATACTTTATACTTAACCGACAAAAACGTCTGGGGTTCTTTTTTTTGAATTATATGAAAACTAAATTAAAAGATTAAACAAAAATCAAGTTGCCAAAAATATGTGTTTTTGAATATATATTTTTTTGCAAATGTTATATACTGCGCAGTAACGAAATAACCGCTAACGATATACCAGTATCGCCAATTCATGAAATTATTTTTTTTCACTATTTCAACTTGCAAAAGGACCTTCCCAAAATTCGTCGCCAGCTCTCGGAATATAAATGGATGTATGTATATATTTAGAAGCTGCCAATCTTCGATCAACAATACTACTGTTGGTCGAAGCTATCAATATAGTGTTGCGCGCTTCTGTCGGACGCCGGCGCACCCTGGTACCTAACTAAACTCAGCTACTTTTTTTTTAAATAATTTGGGTTCAGCGTGAAAAAAATAAAATCCATAAAATTGTGAACAAAGTTCGCGTAGGTACCTAGAGACGCACCCAAGCGAATTGAGGGTTAAGTCGTTTGTCTATCTTATAGGTATTTATAAAATCTGGTCGATATTGTAAGCAGTGTGCAGTCTGTTGCACAATAGTAAAAAGTGTCCGCTAAATAAAAATGGATAATCGAGTTTTTTTTAGTCTTCGTAAAGTTTGTAGGGTAAACAAGCAGGGGGACCCGGTTTAATAAATTTCTGTTACGCCTCCCCCTGGACTGGACCAAGAGCTAAGTACGCTCATGTTGATACTAAGCATGGAAATGATTGCTACTTTTAAATCATTATCACGTGATGAAATTACACCAATTTTTCACGTGATTTCACCTGCTACTTTTCACGCATAGATTTTTGATTTCGACGGTCTGGTGTCACACTTTATATTATTTACTATTAAAATGAAGTATGAAATGTCACCAATGGCGCTACTGATGTGATATGGAGCAGAGATATAGATCTGACGTAGTTGCATACGTACATGGTGCTTTGAATGAACCTATTTTCAAACAATGAACTTTCCCTCATACTTCTACAGGCTTGGGACTGACAATGTAAAATTAAATGAATTTTAAATATATCAGAGTAATCACACGGTAAAATTGTATTAAGCTAAGTTCCATAATTACATTGGCGTATTTAAAAGTTCATTGTTTTTATGTACAATAAGAATTTTTATAAAAGAATTTTATACACTTTTTTTTTGTTTTTCTTAATTTTTTTAATTTGTTTATAATCATTTTTTTTGCTTTTTGATTTTTTTGATGATTGATTTTTTTATGAGATATCTATATACAATAGTCTTCATTGCTTTTTAAAAATACAAGTTCCACTGTTCGTTTTCTGCTTAATCGTGCTCTTTTTTGGGTTGCAAAATTTCCCGCTTTTGAAAATACTCTCTCACACTCCACTGATGTCACCACGATGTGACAGTGCTCATGAAATATTTCCGCCAAATTGGGGTACATATAGGAGTGAGATTTCCACCAAACTAATGGCGAAGAATCGCGCGGAAGCACTGGTTCATTAATAAACATTTCTAGCTCGTTCTCAGCGTTGGTGGTTATGTCTGTACGTATTACACATAATCATTCAGTAAAAATTATAAGTATTTGTTGGATAAAAAACTAAAAATGTGCTCTAAATTTAATTGTTGTTTCTAATTTAAAATTATTTCTAAACAATATTTCTAAGAATCCGAAATCATGCAACTCGAAATAAATAAACTCCCCAATTTACTGATCAACGGTATTAACTGAAAATTGTATTTTGTTGAATAAAAAATCAATAAAAACATCAGTACGAAAATGTATACGGAAAATGCGAGTAACGAAATGCATTCGTGAGTAACGTTTCGGTACTCGGTACTAGATGGCGTACCCGTTACTCAGTAACGAATACATACGGTTTGCTACAGCTCTAGATTTCACCAAGTTGTGATTTGTAGCAGCCACTATGAATGTAAGTAGCAGGTGTGACGTATGATTACGCATTTCACGTGATTTTTCACTTGCTACTCGTGAAATGTTCCATCCCTATGATACCTATATTAAAAAAACATTTGTAGGTCAATGGGCGCGCTCTACCTTATTTTTTATTACATAACATTTTAAATAGGACGTTTAGAAATTAATCCTACTCTATAGTCTACTAAAAGAATAAAATTGACGGAGTAATCAGTGTAAAAAGTAATAATTAAGAAGTTTTGTTAAATTTCAAGGAACTGTAACAACTAAGGAGACATAGTAGGTACCTATATTACACATAGTGTAATGACAGTTATTTTTAATCTAAATGTATACAGATATGGGTCATAAGTTCACCGCTCTGTTCGACATGCTTACTCGACAATCGTTAAACTGATTAGTTTTCAGTGCAGACAAGTTTATTGTAAAGTGAATTTTAAAATTTGTTTTTAATACTTGACTAATTAAAATTAAGAATGACACGCACAGTAGCTGTATGGATTATCGTGCTAAGTGCAATTATTATCACTTCTCAATGTCTCAAACTTTCGTCTATAGATATAGTATACAATAAAGGTGTAGATGCCTATTCGAAAGAGAGATGGACCGAGTGTATTGTACAATTTGAAGGCTCTCTTCATTTATATAAGGTATATAGATCGATCTTAGTGAACTGCAGGCTTAAATGTAAGTCAGAAAATCACAAACATCCATTCACTGAAAATATTGAAGATCTAAAAATTTTTGAATTTTTCCTTATGATGAAAGACTGCTTGTTTCAATGTCAAAGACAGGGATTTGAAGATGCTCATATGTTTAGTAATGTTTCTGATACTATATTATCTTCTATGCAACAAAGAAAACCATATGCCTATTTACATTTATGTTATTATCAAATGAATGCCCTGCATAAAGCTGCTTCTGCTGCATATACTTATTTAACAGCAAATCCTGAAGATGAAAGAATGAAAAGAAATGTGGAATATTATATTGAGCAGCCTGAAGTTAACATTAAAGAAGTGAATGATCTTGAAAGTGAAGACTATCAAACTTTATACAAACTTGGCAAACAAGCCTATGGAAAAAATAAATGGGGAGAAACAATTGCTAATATGGAAGAAACACTAACAGACTACCTTACTTGGGAAAACTTTTGTAGAGCTGAATGTGAACATCAATCGGAACAAGAATGGTCACCAGAATTTATGATATCTATTTCCAATAATATTCTTCCTGTTCTTGTATGCAGACAAGAATGCCAAAATAAACTAAAACCATTATATACATCAGGTGTGGAATTTTTAGCTGATTTATTAAATTATTTGCAAATCTCATATTATCGCATGGACAGACTAGAAGATGCTGCTAAAGGAGTAGCTAGTTACTTATCTTTACTTCCTGATGATGAGGACATGCTAGCAAATATGAATATATATAAAACTCTTGTTGATAATAAAAAGTTTGTAGAAAGATCAGATATTGTTCACTATTTAAAACGTGATAAGTATGAAAAAAGGTTATTGAATTTTTTTCATAAGACGGATAATAACTATCATAATGCCAATACATTATAAGCTTTTATAGATTGTTAGTTTATATTTTTTTATACCTAACTAAAAATATATTTTTTATTTTAAAAATACTTACTCTCTTTTTTACTCAAGTGCCATATTTTGTATTGATATATAAAAAATACTTAAAATATATTAATAAAAGATTCATGCTGTTTTTATTTAATTCCAAGCTATATTTCGCCAACCCGCACTTGGCCAGTGTGGTGGACTATGGCCTGATTCCCCTCTTGCTGAAGGGAGGCCCGTGCCCAGCAGTGGGACGTTAAAAAGGGCTGAATACAAGCTATATTTCAAGTAAATTATTAGTTCTTTTGCATGTTATTATCATCAATATGTTTAATAAGGACTAAAAACATGGCAAACCGCTGCCTAATTCTTATTAATGCAATAAGTAAAGAAAAAATAGATATTGCTTTTAGGTACTTTAAATGGTAAGTTATTTTCTTTCATTCTATTATATTATAATAAAAAATATATATAATATTAATTTATCGTAACTTTATAAAATCACTTAAATATAAATGTATGATCCAAAAATTATATAATGGTATTAAAACGAATATTCCTAAATTTCTATTAAATCAATAACTGGCAACACTACACTATTTTTTCGTGACGGCGATACCTTTGGTCCTAATTCCATCTGTCATTCTTTAATATTCATTATTCATACTTCATGGTCTTACACAAAATAAAATGCCACTTTGCCTGGTATGTAATTGAAAATCATTTTATGTTTTTATGTGGACGTATAAATACATTCCTTTTACATTATATAAAAATATTACTACGGTGAATTGAACCACATATAAAGTAAGTTCATTTTTATCCCTTTACACCATTATTAATTGGTACTTGTTTAAGTTGACACCTTCACTATGGAGACTTCATGCATTAAATACAAACATAGCTATTTCACTATGATGAAATGAAAAGTATGTTATTGTTATAGAAAACACTAAAAAACTATACAGTACATTTTCTCTATAAAATATATTTAATGTAATGTTTATAACCTTAGGTATATTTTAATTAAACTCATTTTTTGTTCATGTTCTAGGAGAGTTATGGCTTCAGAAGTGATAGAAGACAAGCTGACAATTAAAAATATATTATTTACAAAAGCTTTGCCAAACTATATAATTCCTATAGCACCAGATGGCCATAAAATTTTTCCATGTACCGATTGTGGTGATAAGTATGCTACCAATACTTCTTTCTATATAATTTATTAACAATATTGTAGTAATTATTTTTATAACTTCTCATTTCCTTCTTTCAGATTTTTGTTGGAGTCTAGTTACAATTTTCATATTAACCGAAAATCTTTAAAAATTACATATTTGTGTCGATATTGTAATAAGGTCTTAATTTTTAATAATAGATGTAAACTGCTCTCCCATATTAGGTCACATGCATTTAAAACTGCTACTATTAATGTAAGTGATTTAAAACTAGAACCTCTTTCAATTCAAGAGATTAATTGGACAACTACAAACCCTTCTATTATTAATGATTTTCAACAAAAACATAAAAAGAATAATATCTGTTTTGAATGTGATGAAGTAATTGACTCAACAGGAGCAATACAAAAGGATAGAGCAAAACACTATATGAGATATACAAGCAAAGTCTATATGTGTCCTATTTGTTTGTTCACAGTACCAAATACCTGCATTTTAGCAGCACATTTACGAATTCATCTAAAAATGTCTCCATATTTCTGCCCTGAATGTGGTATTCATTTATCTGCTAAGAGCATAGAATATCCATACTACCATGACTGTGAAGGTTTTAAAATGATCAGAGCTACTACCAGATTACAATGTAGGCAAAAAAGTTGTAATAAAGTTTTTCACCCAAATGAATATAGGGACCACTTAAAAACTCATATTAAAAAGATTTATAAGTGCATAAAATGTTCAGCAGTATGGTTTAATGAGCGACCAAAGAAAAGACATTCTCCTTGTACATTTGGTGAAGATAAAATTGCGTTACTGTTCCAATGTCAGATATGTCCCAATAAATTCATACCTAAGGGTGAAAGTAATTATATGCATTTAAATAAACATTTTAAAACTACTACAGAACAAAATAGAGACCAGGTTTATCCATGCATGATTTGTAATGTTACATTTAATGTTATTCCTCAATTAATAAAACACCAAATAGATTCTCATGGTGCATGTAAAGAAACTTTGTCCAAATTTATGAATGAACCTGAATCTAAAGGCAATCCAAAAGGAATTTATCGTGTGGTTAAAAGATGTGATAAGTGTCTAAGAAGTTTCATATATAGATGTCAACTAGAAAATATTAAAATATTGCCAAATGAATGTCCTTACAAGTGCTCCATCAGTAGCAGTAAAGAAAATAATATATCAGAATTAACAAAAGAGAACAATATAGTGTGTGGGCTCTGTAAACAAAATATTAATGAAAAATGGGAAAATATAAAAATACATTTTGCTAAATTTCATAAAAGTCATAAGTGCTTAGATTTAAATCTTACAGTATGCAAAATGAAAATAATGACTCCTGTTATCAATAATATAAATAAAAATAATAAGGTAAAATTCAAAAATAAAAGGAAATATATAAAAACAAAACAATCTTACGACAATAATACCTATGTACATCAGGAATCAAAAAATCATCCACAAAGAGTCCCTGGAGAAAAAAATCGATGCAGTATGTGCGATTTTACATCTGAAGATGATGAAAATTATGAAAAACACATAATAACTCATAGAGATCCATGCATGGCATATCAGTGTCTGGAATGTGGGCGTTGTTTTGCTGTTAAACCTTCTTTTTCTACCCACTTACTATTAGAACATAACATTGCAAATGTCAAAGAATATATAAGTACAAAAAAATGTTTTAATGAACTTGCTTTGTCTACACAAATAAATAGTTTAAAAAAAGTGGATGAACCAGTTAACGAAAACCAATGTAAAATTTGTAGAGATCAGTTTGAAAACTCTCATGATTTGGAAAAACATTTTCGAGTACACGGGATGGCTTTTCTAATGAAAAATAAAAACAATAGTCCTTAATTCGTGTTTAAAACTTTAATATTTTAGATGTAACTGCCACTTTTAAAGATTCTTAAAGTTGGTTGAACAAGATGGTTAATAGATTGTTGGGATTATTTGGACAGTCACAGTGCCTTAATTACAATCACTAAAGACTCGTATATTGTAATGTACTTGAATTGTTTATGAAACTTCGCATACAAATAGTTCAATGACAACTGCTAAATGCTAACAAGAAGTATTATTTAAAATCAACTAAAAACACTAGCTCCTGTCCGAGACATGTGTGTTTTGCTCTTTCACGTCGCTATTCACTTTAGAGTAAGGAAGAAATGGAAGTTTTTCGAACAGTTGAACTTAATCGTCGCTGTTCGCGACTGTCCACAAGTAAGGCATGCCGCACTTGCATCTATCTAAATAAAAAATACTTATATGCAGATTCAGTTGCATTATTAATTAATGTATATTTCACTAAATATGTATCCTGTAGATGTAACATGTGATTAAAGACCTCCACTATGGGTTGATAATGTTCAGTTTATCAATGTTTTAGTTTTTCATTCTCCTCTAATATTTTTATATGTATTGTTCATTTAAAATTTAGTAACCTTAGCCCATTTACTATTTTATTATATTCATAGATTTGTAAATATTAAAAGTAAATACATCACTAATGTTTTTTATTTAATTTCTGTAAATATTTAATGAAGTTTTTAAATGCTCTTTTGTTTAATGTTATTATACAACTGTATATAAATAAGAAACTACAATTTATTTAGTTGAAAAATGGATTTCATGAAAGAAAGTCATGAATAAAGTTAAACAAATTTATATTATTGTTTTATTTACAATGAATTTTTTTATAAAATAGAAATATGTACACAAGAATAATAATTATTAAATATTGTTAATATTAAAGCTTTCTAATAACACAACTTAGCTATATTGAAATATCTATGAGCATCTAGGTAGCTCATGTCTTATTTCATATTATTTCACAAGGCAATTTTTTTATTTATTTTCTTAAAACATTTTTCTCACTCAATAGTCAATCTTTGTCCTGCATTTTCAAATATTTTACAATGAGGCAAGACTCATCCTATCAAGTGTATAAAACTGATAATTTCATGAACTAAGGCTAGCCTTACTAGACATGAATGGCATTATTTCTATTTCTTATTTTATTTATTTAAATATAATGGGTGATAAGCTAATTTCCCTGTGAGTTTACTTCTGCAAGTAGGACACCTTTTTTCAATTTGTAAAGACTGCTCTAAACATTTAAGGCAGTATACATGACCACACTTGGTGGAAGCCAGTGGATTTGTGCCCAATTCATCCCAACATATGGCACAGTTACCAAATTTACTAGAGGTTCTATCTTTACATAATCTTTTTGATGACCCTTGTGACATCTGTAAAAAATAGAAGATGTATTTTTCTACTTTAAATTGAATTGTATATAGTTTTATATACAAACTAGCGGCTCACCCACGCTTTACTCAGGTTCACCTCTAGATAAACAATAACAAATTTATCCCACGGGAACCATACATTTTTCCGGGATACAAAGTAGCTTGTTATTCTGATGTATGAACTATATTATTATAAAGTTTCATTAAAATTCAATCAGTAGTTTTTGTGTACTAAGCTGTATAAGTTACTATAGTTTTTTAACTATCCCATGGGAACTATTTCATTTTCCAGGATGAAAAGTACCTAAAGTGTTGACCGGGGATATAAGGTACCACCATGCAAATTTTCATTTAAATCGGTCTTATAGTTTCCGAGATTAGCTCATACAAACAAACAGACAGAGATACAAAAAAATTGAAAAAAATCAGGATTTGTTCTATTTCTCTTCTCACATCCCCCTGACTTGGTTTTTAGCAGTAAGGTAATTCATGCAATTTTCGTTTTGTTAATTGTGGGTAGGCTGTCTGTAACAACTATGCCTTCGAGACATCTAACACCTCAGTCTCTCCCGTGACCATGAATGCTGTAAAGCATTCGAAACGTCGGGAACAAAAAATCAAAATAAATCCGCGAAAAAATCCGAAAAGATAGTTTTATTTAAAATGTCAAATATTCGCGTAAATATAAGAAAGTATTATCGTTATTATTACTTTACTTTCTACAATTAAAAATGTTAAACTTCGTGTAGTAATGCTAGAACTATTTAAATAATTATATACAGATTGAACTCAAATTATTAGATGACGAATGAAACGTAAAAACTTGTAACTTAGATATTCAAACAATCAGCATTATTTTAATTGATAGAAAGGAAAATAACCAGCAGGATCATCAAGTGCCTTACCTTCATTATCTCTTCGTCTGCTTTTCTTTTAGAAGGCTTTTTGGATTTTGGTAAGTTTTCATCAGGAGATAAATTAAAGGACTCATCGCTGTCGAGTTCAATAATTGTATTAGAAAAATTGTGAACAGCTAACGTGAAAGAGCTTGTTAAGTCTATCACAATGTCTTTAGGCTGAAGGCTCATCTTGAGGTTGAAGATATAATTCCAGTGATATTTTACTTGTTTAAAAGTATGGTATTTTTTAAAATAACAAATAATTATATTCGGGCTTGTGATTAATGATTGTCCTAAAATAATTTAAACATAGACAACAATACATAGATAAACAATATTTGAATTTTGAATATTATGAGTTATGACCAGCGGTGCCAGATAACTGTCGTTGATTTACCCGACCAATAAACCTCAAAATACCCGGTTTATCCCGCCAACGCCAACAATGAGCAGAATACCCGAAAGTAGTTTTTTTTAAGTAATTTATTCATGTTTTATAAAGAATAAAAGAAAGTACGGCTCAACTGTACAATCTATGACATCGAGTTCAAGCGTCATATTTTTTTCACTAATAGATCTCTCTATTAGAAGCCTATATATAAAGTTTGAGACCGCGGAAACAAATAGTTTTGTCAAAAAAAAATTCAAGTTTCACCTTTTTATGTAATTTTACCACATTTATACACGCACTTATCGATGTTTTTCACAAAGTTCGTTATAATATTCTAATGTAAATTGAACCTTAAGTGCAAGGCTTAAAGTTATATTCACAATAATTTTAACCTCAAAAATTGAAATTTTGAAAATTAAATATATCGAAAACTACTAGCCTCCGCGGTTTTCCCATTTAAGGAGGTGTCCCTCTCATCCCTCCCCTCCTACCTCACCTTCTCTTCTCCCTTAAATCGATGTCATAGACTGTACAGTTCAACCGAAAGTACCTACTAATGTGAGAAAAAGAAGTCATCGTAATCAGTTCTCAAATAAACTATTAAATTAAACATAAAAAACCTTAAAATTTCAAGTTAATCAGATAAACTGAAATACTTGCTTTCTACTTAAATACCCGTAAAAATTACCCGCCATCAAAAATCGCCTAAAATTACCCGCTTTTCGGGTAATTTACCCGCCAGTTAGCAGTGCTAGTTAAGACTTTTAAGACTTCGATAGATGAATAATTATGGAGTGTAGAAGTAAGGAGGACCATCTCAGTGTATTAAAAAGTGTCCGTTGAAAGGGAGCAAATTAAGGTGGCGCTATAGTAGCATGTAGAAGAATTTTAAAAGGAGCACTACAAATTATTAGAGTAGGACACTAAATTAAAAAAAGGAAAGAAAAATTTCCGCTGTGTTACAGCGTATTTTTTTAAATTATTATAATATACAGACAAACATGTATATGGGATAAAATTACACAGTATCTTTAAGTACCCCAATTATTTATAAATATAATTATTATTATTTGTAAATTATATTAAATTTTTAAAATAATATTTTATAAAATAATATTATTTGTAAATTATATTAAATTATTCAACCCAGCACACTTCACTCTGCTTATAATTGCTAAATTTAAATATCATTTCCATTTCCTACACTAGCGCTATTTCAGTGAGTGTTCGAACAATATTTTGCTGTTTAGAAGTGGACACGTTTTCAACTAATCCCCCATACAAGAGGGTCTTTTATACTCCCATCCTCCATATGATTATAAACATAACATGAGACAGATACATTTTTATCAAGGCTAAAGAAAAGAAATAATATTTAAAAATACCACCAACTAAACGCTCTGGGCATTTAGCTGCTGCTTCATGACTTTGAACGAAAATTTAGTCAAATATATAGGCATTTAGACAGGCCCCATAAGAGATGGGGAAGATTTCTCGAAAGGAGGGCACCACACGTAATGCCTATTTACCTCTAGTCTGAGGCTGATTGAAGATTTCATATCTTTTGAACAGGTAGTATTTTGGCTTCTATTGTGTTCAGAATCGCATCTTACCTGTGCAATGTATTGTACCTGGAAGTTAGACCAGCTGAAGGAATATAGAGAATAAGATAACTGAGAAGGAGAGGTGGATGGACTGCGGTGGTCCTGACTGACTGATGGTATGATTGATGTAGGAATCCGATAAGAAAATATTTTTGGAAATTCATCCCCTAAATGAGTAAAAAGGGATTAAAGATTTTATGAAAGTCTGTTATTCTTAATGTGAAATACATAGAAAATTGTGTTTAGCTTTTAAATAAAAAGTAAGAAATATATTAATTTGATTTTTTTAAAATTCATCCCTTAAAGGGGTAGTAAGGTATATATAGGCAAAGAATTATTAATGATCAGAATTATTTGAAACTTGATATTAACGCTCTTCAAGTTCATTACAATAAAAACATGTTTTAGCATTTTTCGAAAATCAATCCAATCATTCAATCAATAAAATTTCAGATGAAAGTTTGTATGAAACTCTTTGATTAATTTGTAAAAAAGTACCAAAATTAAGAAGATACCCACCTGTAGACGATTTAAGAGTTTTAAAATCACTTTCTGTAAAATGATGTCCACATAGCAGCAAATATATAAGTTCAAAAGTCAAGTCAATTTTGGTCGTCTATTGCTTTAGCCTACAATTTCACTTCAATCTTCACTTTTTGGCTTTTGGGAACAAATGATATCCATCATCCTGGCACTGCACAATTTATCATTTTCATTAAATCTTTTATTTAAAAAAATCATTCACGCTGTTAACGCTACGCTACTAAGGATCATAGTAATCGTGACATCTTGCGGAAGAATATGGCAAAATTCTACCCTATTATTCAAGAGTGAAGATAAACATAATTTTTCAATTTACCTATTCTAACTTACAAAGTATATAGAAATTCTACGCATTTTAACTATATTAAGACCATGGATGAATAATAAAAACTAAGACTGCCCATATATTTTGTGCTTTATTCATTTATTTCTCTATAGTCATCATCTCATAGTCAGGTAAAAATCGCTAAATGGATGAGTCTGTGGTGATTTGTCATATTTTTAATAACAATAGAACATTAATCTTTTTTGATTTATAATAATAAAAAAACTTTGTAAACATTAACAAAGTAAAGGTACTATTAAATATTACTACTGTTCAATATATAATTAATAACAAATGGGGTGATATGTCAACTTAGGAAAGAATATTAGCTCAACTGCCATACAATTTACTAGTTTTCCTGAGACTCCTCTTGGTTTATTTATTTATTACTATATTTTTATAAATTATAGCCTATGTTATTTGATGCATAAGCTATATTAGTATAAACTTATAAAGTTTCATCATTAAAAAAATAATAAATGTTTTTAAAACAACATATTTTAATCAAAATTTTAATAAACTAAAGATCTCATAAATAATTAATCCCTCAACGACCACAGACACGCTGGCGTTACAGTTAACAATAGATTTTTTAGAAATTTTATTAATTTCTTAGAAATCTACCTGGAGGTGTTGAAATGAATTATAAAATTTATTTCAGGGTTTAAAATGCATCTGGGTGTAAATTTATCAAATGCTTTACAACAATTGGAGAGTGTTAAGGCTGCTGTTGATCAAAGTGATGATCCTAAATTAAAGGTAAATTTTAAAATGAGTATTATCACATTAATTATTGATTAAAACTTTACAAATGAAACCTTAAATATTTTTTTAATTATGAAAAACATAATCGAATAATGTATCATTCATAGAAAAACAATAATATAGTTAATTTTATGATATACTACTAATGTACTTCTGTTATTTTACTGATAACATTTGCTAATGAAGTGATGACTTTAAATACTTATTATAGTATTATAATATTTATGGCAATATTGAAAGTAATCATATTATAAAAGTGACATTGTTAAAATAATATTTATGATGATTATTTATCTACTTATATGAGATGTTTTAATATTATACAGTTATACCCTTGATTATTTATCTTCATGTTTTCTTTTTAAGGCAGCAACCAATGACGACCTAAATCTTCTGCTAAATCTTTTAGAAAGTCCAATACTAAAGAGTATTGCAACTTTACATGACTCTGTTGGAATTTTATCTACACAAGTATCCCATCATCCTTCTATACTTCCTGGAGATTTTGACATTACACCCGCTGGTAAGGTTGAATAATATTATTCTTTCATTAATATTTTTTATAAGAGAAATGAATATTGAACTTGCTTATATTTCATAGAATATTACAATGTTCCTATTTAAGTCTCCCTTTATTCATTTACATATATAATAAACACCTACCCTATAAATAAGTCTTGCAGAGATTTTATTATTACGAAATATACTTAATAAAATTTAAATGATATTGATGCTAATCGTCTGTTCTAGGAACATAAAATTTTATTATGTAAAATTTCATTAAAAGAAAAGTGAGGACTAGGAAATGATTTAAAAAAAATCCTTTCCAAAAAGTTTCATATTTTTTCAAGTAGAAACATGGAGGATGGCTCCTAATGAGTGCCTATAGTAAATCTCATCAGTCTCATGCCTAGTTTTATGTAAATAGAACACCAGGCAATACAAGGACTTGCGCTTATAATAACTTTATATACACTAAACATAATGTAATAACCTACATCCATGCTGCATGTGCAATGCAAAAGTAACTGTGCCTGTTACATTTTTACACCTAAATTACTGAACAAATTTTGATAAAGTATTGTTTAGAGAGGGATGAAACCACGGCAAAGGATATAGGATACTTTTTGTCAAATATGGGTTGAAAGTTTGTTTTAGGAACAAATCATTTCTCAAGTTAAGGACAAAAATTCAATATCTAAACATATAATAAAATTCTAACTGTGTTGAATCTGTAAATTATTTTTTTTTGGATAATCTTATTGAATAGTCATTATTATCAATACAGAGGCCGAATCTATAGTTTTTAGATTTATTGTCTATCTGTCACTGAAAGCATCATAAGAAATGTCCTGGACAGATTTTGGTGAAATTTGGTATGATTATAGCTGATTATCTAGGAAATCAATAAATGTTTTTATAAATCTGGATCGATATATAGGATGCTTTTTACTGCAACAAAATATCATCTCTGAGAAATCTATACTAAATGTTAATACGCAACTAGTAGTACGCTAGTATCCTATAATTTTGGTAAGAAATAAAGAATATTTCGGCATCTATGACCAATCAAAATTCAATAGTGGATGATTTCAAGTTTTTTTAAAGTACTTATCTGTGCACTTTTCTATATACATATATCCTATGTACATATATACATATAGAATTCTACTATTTCCTATGAAGAAGTGTTTTTTAAGTGATATAATTTCTTACAGGTGATTTAGCATTACAAACTAGAAACCTTTATGGTGCCCATGAAGGTGAGGAAGAACAAAGGGTACCTCAAGTGTCACCTCCACATAGCTTAGAATTTGGTTCGGGGTCTGACAATGAACGCATTTTAGGATTGGACTCGGCTTCGGTAGACTCTAATATGTCTCCGAAGCAGGTTTGTTTCATAACACTAATTCATTATTGATCATATATATACTAATAACAATATTAATAACAATACATGATATTTTAAAATGCCTAACAGATTTTTTCAACATGTAAAAAAAATGTTTATATTATGATATTCATTATTTTTATACTTTTAAAGAATGATTTTTATTGTGATATTACTGATTTTCTAAAATTACTTATTTTCGTATCAAAGTTACACGCTACGAATTCTTCATTATACACTAGCAGTTTTCAAATGCTTAATCGGCTATAATATTTGGCTTAGGATAATATAATGCAAAAAAATAATGTTTATATAAAGAAAAAACTCTTTCAACTTTTATTTTATATTATAGAGTCGAGGTATTCTTGAAATGTCTAGAAATGATGACTCCCTAGTGTCAGCTTCAACGAATATAGTTGCAGGAGATTGGGCTCAAGTGGAAATTATAAATTTGGTCAATGACGGCACTGGCCTTGGTTTTGGTAAGAATTTCTAATACGAAATCAATAAATATTTTTATAAATGTCCTATTTTATGTATCATCAAGCTAAACAGGTGCGATTTGAGTTAGTATTTATTGAAGTTGTTATATTTTTATTATTTATTTTAGGTATCATAGGTGCAAGGACAAGTGGCGTCATTGTGAAAACAATATTGGCTGGGGGTGTGGCCGATCGTGATGGAAGACTCAAATCAGGCGATCATATTTTACAGATTGGAGATGTATGTCGAAAATATTTTTTGTTTTTAAACTATTTTGAAACCTTCTAGCTTAATATTGTAATTCAGAGTTTTTATTACAATGGTAACATTTTTTTATGTTCGTGATGATGTTTCAAATTCAACTACTTACCACTACTAACTTACAACTAATACAATCCACTCAATTTTTTTCTTAAATTTCATATGGCCACACCACCTCCATTTGAGGTAAATTCTATTCAATAAAAAAACATTAAAATCGGTTAACAATCGACTAAGACTTTTAATGTTTTAAAAAGCTATAGATATTACAGACGTCAGACAGTGTCTACCGACAAAAATTATACAATAATTTAGAAGAAATGAGAAATGTCATGAATTACTTATAATCAATAGATAATAGTAAAAAATAAATTGTAATGAATATTGCTATAGTTTAACCATTTGTAAATATTTAATTTGGGCTGCTATAATCTTTTCTTTTAATAAGATTTTTAAAATATCATTACACCCTTTTGAAATTCACTAGAACGATGAAAATGAACGAAGTACGTATATTTTGTACAGGTAAGTCTAATGGAGATGGGGTCCGAGCAGGTGGCGGGCGTGCTGCGCGCGTCGGGCTCGCGCGTGCGCCTGGTGGTGGCGCGCGCCGCCGACCCCGCCGCCGCCGGCGCCGGCTGCGGCGCGCCCGTCGTGCCGGCGAGGCGCGTTATATATCTATTTATTGCTAATTATGCAGACGCGTTCGCTTGCAGATTCTATAGGGAATATGCGTGTTTTCTTTTTATTTTTTATAAAATAGATTACATCGTTATACAGTTGTAAAAAAATATCATACCGATACGGATACTTTAAACGCTCGCCATTTCGCGCGCTTGACGTGACGTCACAGTATTATATACATTGAAAAATGATGACTCGATTTGTAGCGACAAAAACGTTAATCGCTCTGTTATGATATTATACTCTGACATCACATATTTGGCCTAACCGATGGCGTTGCATTTTAACTACTTTGAATTCCTCTATTACATTCGCACTTTTTAACTATTATCCTCTCATTCAAAGGAGAAATTACATTAAAAATATTAATATAGGCCTAATTCAAAAGCAATAAAGATTACAAAAAAAAAATTAAATGTGGCACTCGGAGACTGCCGCGGTAAAGCTATTGCATAGCATTTTTTATCAACTTATGCAATTATAATTATTTATTTATTTTATTAATGCAGTATTTTTTTTCCTTAACTTCCTTGACTTTCTTCATTAATAAATGCACTTTGTTTATTCATATTTAAAACACTTTGTACACAAATTATACGAGTACAGATAATCACTGTTGTACATAGATGATAAATACCTATACACCTATATACTTTCTCACAAAGAGCTGATTACGGTAGTTTTCCAATACAACCAATGCCACCTAAAGGTGGGTTGCTGAACTAAAGAGACAAGCGTGATATTTCAAAAAGTCATTAAAAGTTCTGGTATTTATCGATAGATGGAAAAACTAAAAAGTATCACCGCTGTGCCGGTTGGAGTGGGGGGTGTCAGGTTTTTTTCGTTACGGAATTTCTGGATTCGGTCCCCACGCTCAAGGCCCGCGATAGAAGCTATGCAATAGCTTAATATTTCACCTTTATTTATATCACACGCATGTTTCCCTATTACCATTTGCCTCCAATGAAGCGTTTTCTCGCATCTCTGCACAACTAGTTCAATTATATTTTATAAATTATAAATACCTGTTACTCTAATATAAAAGTTTAGTAAAGTTACATCAAAATCTGTTCAGTAGTATTATAGTACATCTATATACAAACTTTAGTGCTTATAATATTAGTTAACCTCATATATACATATGTATATATATTATAAGATTATATTCAACCAATTCAAGAGGGGGATCAGGCCATAATCCACCAAACTAGGCCACTGTGGTGGACTACGCCCGGTACGTCAAAAGTGCTGAATACAATAATTTACTTAACATTTTATATTTCAGACTTCTCTCTAGTCCAGAAGCATTGGACCGGTATCTAATGGAAGCCGGCTTCGAACAAGTGTTCCACACACAACCGATGCCTGTCACATTAAATTCGAATGTGTCAAGATTTGTCTTCGATACATCTATAACTCCTCCGCCCGATAGTGGTATTTATTTTAAAATCTAGTTATATTTGTATCTATAATATGCATATATTATTTATGAGTATATGTATGTCGTGGTCAGATCGTAGAATTGATCACTTCATGATGTGGCTGACCATTTCATGAAATGGTTGTATTTCATACACCCAGCTAAAACTGACCAAATCGTTTAAAACTTAACGTTTGATGATATGTCCATCCACACTTGACCATATAATTATTGTAGGGTTTCCATGATATCAAAGGTTTTATAGATAAAAATACAAATAAAGAAGGAACTTATATATTTGTCTTGTACTTCCAATTCTTCTGATACTGTCCGACATTTTTACTTTTCGCGTCGAAACTGTCACTGAATTTAAAATAACGTAGCACTTATGATGTTAGAGGTTTTGGGTTTGAAATAAAATAAAGACCTAACGAGAAGGCTAAGGCGGGACCTACGCTACTCTTCTCACGGGTTTAATATGTTCAAAATAGTTAGACCCCGTATCACGTAAATACCACCCACCCCTCCAGAGGTCGCGCCCCACACACTTAACTTCTGCCTGTATGTGATAATATTTTTCTATAGGAATTATACGAATAGTAGGATCGTGAAGCCTTTTTTAAAAATAAAATCTGTTTACCCACAATTTCCATGAAGTCATAATTGAAATCTATCAATAGTCCATTGATTTGCGTTGCATGGTCACCCTACTTTTACTTCTGCATCACAAAAACAAAAGGATATCAGCGCCTGTAACGGTGGATAATGTAACTATTTTACGATATGATCACTAAAGTAGCCATCTTTAGCTGTTCATATCGTCAAACGCTGATTATATATTATTCATTGATCTAGCTAGATCATATCAAGATGTGGGCACCGGATAATGACCATTTCATGAAATGTCGACCACATCGTGAAGTGACTAATTCTGTTATCTGGCCACAACATATACATCTATACTAATATTATAAAGAGGTAAAGTTTGTGAATTTGTGAGGTTGTAGGGGGTAATCACAGGATCTACTGAACCGATTTAGATGAAATTTGGTAAGAAGATAGTTTGAGACCCTGGGAAGGACATAGGATACTTTTTATCCCGGAAATCATTCCTTAATGGGTTCGAGCTATGGACGAACCTTGAGCGAAGCGAGGGTGAGTCGCTAGTACATGCATAAATTCACACTATATCCTTTACACATACCCAAACCAAACCAGGGGCCACACACTGCGGAACCTTGAAAAAGATTGCAGTTTCTGCAGTAACGAGGCTCACTAGAATTCTTGTGGAAAAGTATCGCTTATAACGGCGTTGTGAACCACCAACCGACTACCTATTACCAGAGTAGCTACGAGTATATTATATAAAGTGGAGAATGGCGTGCAAAGTCGCCATGTTGATGTATGCATATTACAAATTCAAATAAGGAGGAGGTGCTCAATTCCTTATGTGATATCTTCACAAATTCTGAACGAATTAAGTTATTCTTGTTTTATATGGATCGTTCCATATAAATTTTAAGAAATTACCATTAAAACAAACTAATTGGATTATAATAAATAATTATTAATTATGGCACCATTTAACATCATTATATGCTTTCAGATGCAGAATCACCTGAAGTTGATAGATTTACTGTGCAATTGAAAAAGGATGAAAATGGTTTAGGTATTACAATAGCAGGTAAATATTTAACGCTTACACCTTTCTTTAAGTATATAGATAAAATATTAATGTAAAAAAAACGCGCAAGAAATTATACTTTTTTGGTGTAACAGAACAAAAAAAGCTAAAGATTTCATCCAAATAATATGAATGATAAATTAATAAAATAATTAAATAAGGTATATTATTTAAGGAAAGAATATAATATTAAATATCATTTGTCAGACAATAACAACGGTTACCACGGCAACAAACAGTTATCAGCTAACTTCATCATGTCGCTTTTTGAGTGTCGGTATGCGCGCGCATCGTAAAAATTTTACTCTTATAATTTTTTCAAAACATCACAAATGAATGGCTAAGTGTGTTGCTAAGCGCAAAACTCGAGAACGGCTAGAATATTTCGGATATTTTTTTATTCAAATATTCGTTGAAGTTCAAATAGGGTTCTTATGAAGGTAAAAATTGGAAAGTTTTTACGAGCAAACGAAATATCTCATTTTTCTTTTTCCTTACTACTTTATAATTACGAACGCAACCTTAAAATTAATATAAACTACATGAATGTATATTTCGTAGATTTGACACTTTCTCTTTCTACGATATACAGTTCGACTTCGTCGTCGGCCGTTCGTTTCTTCGCTTTAATTTTTCCATCACAAATGGACACTTCAATTTTATTTATCTGATAGATAATTATGATCGGGATTTAAATAAAGTAGAACGGTCGATGTGTCGCAAGGGTACGTGTGCGAGAAGGAGGAGCTGTCGGGGATATTCGTGAAGTCGGTGACGGCGGGCAGCGCGGCGGCGGCGAGCGGGCGCGTGCGCGTCAACGACCGCATCGTGGCGGTGGACGGCGCGTCGCTGGCGGGCCGCTCCAACCAGCGCGCCGTCGACGCGCTCAAGCAGAGCGGCAGCACCGTCACCTTGGAGCTGGAGAGGTGGCTAGCTTGCGTCCCGATACACACTTTCATCTCCGGGATAAAAAGTACCCTATGTCCGTCCCAGGGTCTCGAAATATCTTCTTACCAAATTTCATCTAAATCGGTTCGATAGATCCAGAGATTACCCCCCTACGACTACGATTACGATTTTTCTATCTACGTCTATGTAGAAACTTTTTTTTACGTTGTGAAATGCATTTAGGAATGAGGTGTGAGACTCACCGGCGAAGCCAGTACTACCCACTGAAACCCGATAGAACCTCCCCCGTCTTAATGGGGCGTCGCAGGATCGCTCGCGCACTCGACCGCGACGCCCCGACGGCAGGCTGCCGAAGCCGACCACGGCAACTATGGGGTTGCTCCACGGTCCACTCTGCTATCGGAGAAGTACCGGGGCGTACGTCTTTGTAAAAACTATGTGAATCTGTACCATTACCATCCATATGATACATGTTTCTCAAAGCATTTTAACACAATACACATTTTTGTCTCGATCAATATCCAGATACCTCCGTGGCCCTAAGTTCGAGCAGCTGCAGCAGGCCATCGCGGCCGGCGAGAGCGCCGCCGCCGCCGCGTGCGCCGCCGCCGCGCACAACCCCTTCCTGCACATGCACCGCCCCGAGCCCGGCGCCGACCACGACATACAGATGACACATTTATCAGCTAAGTTAGTGTTCGGATAAATTTTCTTATCCTTTTTTTATTTTAGGAAATCATTTACGCATACCACCTATATAGCATAAGAGTGGTTATGAGGGACTCGACGGCTTGAAAAGGCAATGCTACGAACTAAAACGATTTTTCGGGGATTTTCTTACACTCTAGAGTCTAGATGGTCGCTGGATATGCTTAGTGGTTACTGGTTACTCCTTACAAAATATTACTAGCTTTCTGTGTGGGAAAATTTATCTAGTTATTTGTGCGTATAATTATTTCGTATCAGTTTTACTGTCTGTCCACGGGCACATATCGGTGATTATAATTGAATTATTACAGTTAAAACAAAAATGTAATTGTTTGTGTTCTTATTATTTACAGAAGGTCGATTTTTTTTGTGAATCATCACAAATATCGTACCGGTAGATTATTTTTAGAAAATGTTTATAAGTTTGTAAATTATAGCCCAATTAACAATTATCATAATCCTCCTTTCTAATTAGATTCATAATAAAATCCGATAATAAAATCCGTAGAGTAGTTTCTGAGATTAGCCCGAACAAACAACTTAACTTTAATAACTTAAAGTGATAGTGAAACAAGTCGTAAAACAAGTGAGTTTAATGATCAACATATTGCAGCTTAGAGCCAGCAGCTGAAGAGAGTCGAGCGTCCCCCCCGCGCCCCGCGCCCGCGCCCGCGCCCGCGCCGCACTTCGAGATGCCTCGCACTCCCGAACAAAAGGACGCTATTAAGAGGAAATGGCAGGCCATATTGGGTATGTTTATGATGCGAGATATTTTTGTGGCGTTTTATGTATGTTTAAAAAATACTATATATGTAATTTTAAAAATGAAAAGAATATATTTTTAATGTTTATTATTTTTTTTTATTATATTTTAGATATTATTTTTTATATTTATTTTACGTAAAAATGAACTTCGACCCTTATTAAGAAAGTTATGAGCGAAAAACAAAAAAGAGCGGTTTTTTGAAAATTCGATATTTTTGAACGTTCCTAAAATAACCAAAATTCTATGAAAATCAAAAATAAACTCTTTTGAAACCGTCCGATTCTACGTGGAATGCCGCATATATAGACGTGGTGTGTCCGCAGGCGACGAGGTGGAGATCGTGGTGGGCGTGGTGGTGCGCGGCGGCGGCGGGCTGGGCATCTCGCTGGAGGGCACGGTGGACGTGGAGGGCGGGCGCGAGGTGCGGCCGCACCACTACGTGCGCTCCGTGCTGCCCGAGGGGCCCGTGGGCCGCGCCGCCGTGCACCGCCCCGGGGACGAGCTCTTGGGTAAACAAACAAACACACTACTGCCACCTCTTTATCTACGAGTGTTACGGGATTGGGCTATACTTATTTTTTATTATTATTTGTAATTAAATGAACGGAATATATTCGTAATCACTTGCATCTAAATTATATATGTCTCGATGGTAGGGCGAGTAAAATAAAGGGGGAATATAAATTAAGGTTGAAATTTGACCGCATCAGTACATCATTAAAATGTTAGAATCGTAATTGAAGCGAATATTACTGTGCAACATTTAAAATTAAAATAACCATAACCACCATAAATAGTTAATTTCATGACTAGAGGTGAACGGGCACCGGCTCCTGGGCATGAACCACTTGGAAGTGGTGTCGATTCTCAAGGAGCTGTCGAGCGAGGTGTGCATGGTGTGCGCGCGCCCGCGCCCCGCGCCCGCGCCCGCGCCCGCGCCCGCGCTCGACCTCGCGCCGCCCGCCGCCACGCTCGTCAAGGTATACAGCCTTCCTTCACTGCGAGGTGGGTCATGCCGTACTCCACCACGCTGGCCGAGTGCGGGTTACTGGACTTCACATGTCCTTTGAAAACTTGCTACGTTCTCTCAGTCATGCAAGTTTCCTCACGATGTTTTACTTCACCGTTAAGACGAGTGATGATCATGTCGGAAATGATTCGCACATGAAAATATCAGAGGTGCGAGATCCGGAATTTGAACTCGGTTCACTCGGTTTCCCAAGCGAGCGTGTTACGACTTACGACTGGGCTACCATTACCTTTATCTCCCGCCTTTTCTATAAAAAGTGAAAACTTCTTTAGCCGCGTTAAGCGATTTCGGTAGGGGGAAAACTTATGGGTTCGCGTCACCGACATGCTACGTGTGACGCAGACTGGCGACGCGCAGCGACGTATGTGTTGATTAATAAATAAACTATATGAAAATGTATATAATTATTGTTTGGAGTGTCAATAAATGTAAAAACCAGATAAATAATAATTTTAATTTCCAAATTTTGAAATTTTAACTATTCATACTAAAATTAATTTTAAAATTAAAAATAAAACACAGTTATTCCAAAGTCGACGGCCCAGTCCATGACTGCCTATTATTTTTTTTATTTAACGTTGATAAATGCATTTACGCATACTACCTGCGCACGTACAGTTTATGTGGGACTCGCCGAGTATAAAATCCAGTACTACCCACTAAAACTCAAAGAAACCATTCCCGTCTTAATAGGGCAGCGCAAATTTACTTACACGCTCAACCACGACGCCACGACGGCTGGCCTGCCTACACCACAACAGTCAATCATATCATCAATCTAATCTCTAAAATTACTGTCAGCTTTTTTATACGATTTTCACTCATGGATAAGAGAATATCTAGAAAGGTTATCGACTATAATTTATAAACATTTTGCGAGAATTAGCTGATATATGATATCTATCTATAAGCTATAATGATGTATGTGTAATTAGGTTGGAAAAATCTTTCTTTCTGAAAACTCTCGTAATACTATGCGGAAGGCATCTAAGGACAGAGAAAATGTTAGTATAACCGATCACATAATACTAGTACAGATGCCTCATCCCATACAAAGAAATTGGAAAGAGCTTATTCGGGCTATTTTTGTTTACTTGAATAGATAATAGATGTCGTTGATTGATGTATGTGCAAACTAACGAATGATAAATATTGTAAAATTCATTCTGCATTCGAATAAAAAAAGAAACAATTCATAAAAAGTAAAAGCGTCATCTGTCAATATACAATACAAACCCATTCTGATTGTTGATATTTCAATATTCAGTAAAATTACGCAAATTTGGTTTACGGGCGCATTATTTCTTTTCCCTTCACTTAGAACATTTTTTAAAACAATAATATATCTTTTTGGGATCTAATTTTTTTATTTTTTGTTAATTTAACACCACTTTATCAACAAATCGATACACATAACGTCATCTATTGACATTTTTTAAACAATTTTTTTTGTTTAATTTATAACAGTAGAAAGAATGGTACTTCTCCACACAAAATTTCGGTATCATGGATTCTTTGAGTCTAGCTAAGGATAGTCTAGCTAGCAAGTAAGTGTGCACAAACAAAGTACCTAATTTTTTAATATACTGATAGTTTTCTCGACCAGTATTAGGAGAAATACGTCGGTATTGATGTTTTTTGACAAAAGGACCGAAGTAAATGACACTTAGTCTAAATCGGAGTACAAACCCAAAACCTCAGTATGTTGATAAGAAAATATATACATAGTATGTATTACCTTCTGACCGTAGCCTATGAATTGTAAAAGCAAAGATATGATTCCCATTTTATATATTGTATTCAGGCCTTTTTAACATCCCACTGCTGGGCACGGGCCTTCAATGCGAGGGGGATCAGGCCATAGTCCACCACGCTGGCCAAGTGCGGGTTGGCGCACTTGACATGTCTCTTTCGAAAACTTGTTAGGGTATCTCAGACACGCAAGCTTCCTCACGATGTTTTACTTGACCGTAAGACAAGTGGTAATCATGTTCAAAATGATTCGCACATGAAAATATCAAAGGTGCGAGACCCGGGATTTAAACCCGCTTTACTCGGTTACCCTAGCGAGCGCGTTACCCCCTACCCCTGCCATATTTTAAATATTATATCGTCGTTGCGAAGTTAAGACCTCCTATGTGTCACTTTTGGCAAAATTACTTTTTTAGGCTTACCGATTCTAAATTTTAATGCGCTATCGAATGCAAAAACTGTCATGTGAATATGGCGTTTCAATCGTCAGTTATTTACTAAATTCAAAATCTTGAATGTACTTGCTAATTAAAAGTTGGTTCTTAAAATATCTTATGTGTATGTATGTGTGTCGTCGCTGGACTTTCGAGGAAAATTTTATTGATCAAACTGCAGAAAACACTTTACCAAGTTCAAATATTATTGCTAGGCCAGGAAGGCACGTTGAATTGACAAGAACTGTTAAAACATGGTTGGATCTTTTACCAAGTCATTACTGTCGTTCTAGCTCAAAAAAATTTTTTGTTGAATAGACTTTTCGATCTGAACTCCACATGCATCAAGTTTTTAAGGAGTGGTGTATTGAAAACCACTACAAAGCTGCCTCTAGAAAGACATTATCCAAGATACTGACAAACGAAAATATCAGCATTCATCTTTCGCGCAAAGACCAGTGTGACACGTGTTGCAGTTATAAAACGGGTAACATTTCGAAAGAAGAATACGAAAGTCATATTGCGAAGAAAACTGAAGACCGTGAAGCCAAAAAGAATGTCATAGAGAGTGCAAACGAAAAGGATGTGGTTATAACTGTCGACGTTCAAAGTGTTTTGCTCGCTCCAAAGCTATGGCTAGTGCTTTATACTACAAATTAAAATTACAATGCAATAACTTTACGGCTTATAACGTGCTATCCAAAGATGTGAACATTTACTTTTGGCACGAAGCAGATGGTAATGTAGTTACATCATTAGCAGTTGCTAATGAATTCACATCTTGTTTAATGATGATGTTCTCCTAGCCGATTCCGGCTACGGCGGCCAATCTCATTGAGACTAGCCAACTGTGCAGGAGATATTATAGTGCACAAGTGTACGCGCAGACACAAGTGCACTCTCTATTCCTGTCACTCTCATACTCCGGTGGGACGACTGCTCGACACGACCGGTGAGAGTTAAGGCGCAGGACCGACGGCTTTACGTGCTCTCCGAGGCACGGGGGTGAAACACCGCCAACTTCCCAACTCCGGGCTGTTACTGAGGCTTACTTATACAGAAAGACTCAATAACTAAACTTGACCCGACCCGGGACTCGAACCCAGGACCTCTGGGTGTGCATCCGTTCATGCTAGCCACTATACCACCGAGGCAGTTAATAGACTACTGTCTACGGATGTCTGTTGATGATGAAACCGAATTTCGTCTAGTGCCCTAAGCGATTTGGCGCAAAGGAGGTATTTGTATTGAACAACTTTATCTGGAAAAAGGGCACACTATGATGGAGGTAGATAGTGTTCACTCCACTATTGAGCAATACATAAAACCGCCAATATTCGCTTCCAGTGATTACATCGCACGAATGAGACAAGCTCGACCTTAAAAGCCCTATGATATCAAATCTGTTAACTTTGATTTCTTTCTCAATTTCGAAGAGATGGAATCGAACTTAAAATCCATACGGCCTGGAAAAAAGAAGGGAGATCCTGTCGTGGTGGACATTAAGGGTCTTAAATATTTATCCGATGGATCTATATTTTATAGGTTAAGACATGTCGATGAGTGGTCGGTACTTCCACAGCGTAAAAACAACCAAAGAAATGATTTTATATCTCCAAGGGGACTGTATAAATCTCCAATAAAAATTACTGAGAGCGAGTATAAACATTTACAGGAACTTAAAATGGTAATAGATCAGGATTACCATCCATTTTATAATGCGTTACCATTCAATCCCCTTAGGTGCCCCTAATGCATAATTACTAGTTAAATTCAAAAAGTTATGGTAGTTTGATTTGTAACTTTTTTATTCTAACTTGTGGTTCAATTGTTACATAATGTCTTAAGATGTGTATTCAGAGAAATATATTTGTTTTTGCAATAAAATAAATAGTTTTTTAATTCAATAATTGTAGGCATTTTGTTTCAAGAGCAATGATGTGATCCATAAAGCGCACGCAAATAATCTTATGTGTTAACTGAACTTGTTTTTATTTTTTTTCACTACGATACTACTTTTCATTTCATGTAATAATATCATAGTAAAAAGCAGGAAAACATGTAGCTGATATTTATATTTTTTGTTGTAGTTGGTTTCACTATATTTTTTTCAGTAGACGGTTTTTGTCGATTATCTCATAAAATTGATTTTTACACATAAGAGGTTTCAAAGTCGCAACGACGATATTAAATATTGCTTATAATAGATAGTTCAACCTTATTGATATTTTTAGCATTTACGGTACACAATACTTGTACTCGTATGTGTGTATTTATGAATTTTTCAGTGACCCTCAAAATCAAAGTTAAGTTTTACTGGTAATAAAGTGAGTAAATAATTCTTACCGATAGATGCTCGAAGGCATGAAATATATAGTTGATTTCATTTTTTTAAAATGAATACATTTTTAAATGCCCATTTAAAATGACAAAAATATTACAATAACATATCTTATAAATTAGTATGAAATTTAGATTTGCGTGCAATTTACATTGCGACATCATTTACATAATGTCATAATTATCCATTTTTTTTCTAGGAATGTGGTCATTCCAAATCTAGGTAGATTTATTTAGATGTAAACTTAAAAAAGTAACATTTATTATCTATCAGTATTTTAAATTTATAACTGGACTTTGGAACCAATTAATGTTTATCAATCTACGAGTATTATAATTCGGTTGTTAGATAAGAATAGTAAATTATTTATCAAGCTGTCTCCATAACAATTATGCCTTAATTCCTTTCAATAGTGCATGAAAATCTACAAATGCCACTACTAAATAAAAAAAATAGGTTAAGTATTCAAAAAAATGACTAAAATTATATTGTACGATGTTTTATGTATAGTAAGTAGTAATACAATATCGAAATGAATTGCTATGTAACACTTAAATTTGAATTTATATAGCTACCTTTCTCATTCTGAGAGTTTCAAAAGATCTTATTCTTTTAAAACACTCAGAATCTATAATTACATATACTAATACTTTCTTAGATTTACGCGAATGTTTGACATTATTAAATAAAACTATCTTTTCGGATTATTTCGCGGATTTATTTTGATTTTTGGTTCCCGACGTTTCGAATGCTTTACAGCATCCATGGTCACGAGAGAGACTGAGGTGTTACATGTCTTGAAGGTATAGTTGTTACAGACAGCCTACCCACAATTAACAAAATGAAAATTGCACCAATTACATTACAATATTTTTTAACTTTAAACATTTTTATAATTTTAATTATAATTGAATATGGAAAATTATTTATTTAATTTTTGCTATTATTTTTATAATTATTACAATTTTAAAATATTAATTAATATAAATATAGATTACTAAATGCTTAGGGGATCTCTTAAACTTAGGTGACGGTCATGAAATCGGCGATTTATCAGCTATTGTTAGGCAAGTACACGGAGCGAGGTCCGTGAGGGTAAGTCGCTAGTATTATTATAATATACTCGCGACTCACCTTCGCTTCGCTCGGGTTCGTCCCTAGTTTGCTTCCCAATACAAATTTCATCACCATTTCCACCCCCTTAAGGGATTCCGGAATAAAAAGCATCCTATGTCCTTTCCAGGGTCTCAAACTATCTTCTTACCAAATTTCATCTAAATCGGTTCAGTAGATCCAGAGATTACCCTCTACAACTCACAAGCTCACAAACCTTACCTCTTTATAACATTAGTATAGATTAGTATGATAATATAGTAATTTATATACAGGCGAAGTCCGACGGCAGCCTGGCGGGCGCGGGCGCGGAGGAGGGCGGCGCGCTGGGCGCCGGCGGCAAGGCGCGCTCGCGCTCGCTCGAGCCGCTCACCGGCCTCGCCATGTGGTCCTCCGAGCCGCAGATCATTGGTAACTAACCATAATATTATATATATGAAACTGTTTATATTTGTTTGTGTTCGTGCGTGCTCGCCTGCGTATGTGTGCTATGCACCTATCCACGAATAAGTCACTAGCATTATGTACACAGTACATTCTAACATTCCAGTAGCTTTATAAATATTCTCGTGGGCTGCACCGCTGACATAATGCGTTTTTGCAATAATCGCATGGTAAATATGACACGATAAATACAATCACACTCGTAGTTTTCATAGTTCAAATGAATTGGCAAGTATCTAAGTTCGATAATCGCTGTTTTCGCTTATAGATAACAATAATCCAAATACGCAGTATTAAATCAAAGTCCAAAATACACGCCAATTCAACGAAGGTAAATAAGTAAAAAAAGTAAATTAAAAATGATAATGTTGGAAAACAATCGTAAAACAGCAAAGTGGATTTTTATCTGTAGTTCATTAAATAACACTCCGCCAACTATTTATTTTTAGTACCTATAACAATTATTTCTGCGCTTGGTATATTTGAAGTTAAAAAATTTATTTGAAAACTATGAACTAGATAAAAGAAAATTACAGAAAAATTCGCCGTCTTTAAAATAAAAAAAACCCGAAATCGTGTAAGATATTTAAATTAAGCCGATAAAAGCCACTGTAAAAAAACAAGTAAAGCCAATGTAAGAAAGCCACATTACTATGTATTCCTTTTTCTTAACGTCCCAATTCTGGGCTCGAGCTCTCCTTTACTACTCGGGGGATCTATCCATAGTCCACCACGCTGTTCAAGTGCAGGTTGGCGGAATTTACATATCTTTCGAAAATGTGCTAGGTTCTTTCAGTCATGCAGGCTTCAACTCAGCTCAGTCATGATGTTTTCCTTCTCCGTAAGAGAAGTGGTAATCATGTTGGAAATGATTTTCACATGAAAATATCAACGGTGGGAACGCGGGTTTTAACCCGCTTCAGTCGGTTTCCTAAGCGAGCTTGTTACCACCACACTACGACATTAGTATAATACTTTGAAAAAAATAACCAACAAATTGTTAATATCTCGACTGCATTATTAAGGCGCAGTCTAAAATACGTTATTCTTAGTATATATATTCTATACTTTAATATCCAAATATCTTAAACTGCTAAAAATGCTAAACCAACATGGGGGCTATAACTCAGTGTTTAATTAGTTAATGGATGAATTTTGTTATTATAATATCCAAATAATATACAATAATAATACAATTTGTGAATTCAGAAGTACCAACATGTTATTACGTCTATACGAATGACGGTAATTGCAGAACTAAAATAACAATACAATTCATTATTATTAATATTTTTTACTATACTTACGTAATGGCGTGACTGAACCAGGAAAACAACACTTTATGCCGATGTAACCGCAAGTTGCAAAAACATTAGACTTTGAACCTCATCAATGCACAGCGATATAATTAATGTACTCGTATACTAATTTAATGCTAATTAGAGACCTTCATAATTGCATTATTTATATAATATAATTGGTTATGTCTATTTTACTATAATATTTATTTCTTACTAGCGAAATTACGTTTTAACGTTTTGTTTAGATTTTTCAGAGATCAGATATTTTCCCGCAGTAAAAAGTATCCCATGTTGACCCGTATAACCAGCTATCATCATACCAAATTTCCTCAAAATCCCTCCCGCTGTTTTTACGTGATGCGGTCACAGAAAGATAGTCAAAAATTCGAAAAACTATAGATTCGGCCTGTGTATCGGTAATAATGTCTATTTCAATAAGATTTTCCAAAAAAACATTTAATGTGCAGATTCGGCTTAGTTATATATATATATTTAATAGCGACTCACCCTTGTTTCACTCGGGTTTGTCTCTAATGAAAAACAATAACAAATCTATCCCACGAGAACCCTACATTTTTCCGGGTTAAAAAGTTGCCTAAGTGTTATTTCAGACTATAATCTATCTCTGTGCCAAATTTCATCCAGATCCGTTCAGCCGTTCTGGCGAGATTGAGTAACCATCATCCATCCACCCAAAATTTCGCATTTAAAGAGTAGTAAGATTTTAATTAAGTATATTGCAGTCACGTGACGACCATTGTGACGCATGTTTCTTTCCATGAAGGAAATATTGTTAAAAAAAATTAATTATAGGTAAATCTAAGCGATTTTAATTCAAAATGTTTTGATGCAGTTTAAGGTTTCGCAACTAGCCTGTATAATGCACATGTACAGATCATAAAGATATATATTTTTCACGATCTGGTTTAGGCTAAAGCGAAAAGTGAAACACAATAAATAACTTAGATTGATTACATTCTAAGTGACCTTAATGTCATAAATCTTTAGTTGATTATAATCTCTTTAATCCTATTATTTTTTGTTGTAAAACCGTATTATCTTGCCCCATATCTAAAGGATTAATTATCGATAGGCTAATCATTTTTAACTTAAAAGGGCAAACTAGAAAGTATAGCGATAATTATACACTACACATTCATTAAAAATTATATAATATCTGATTAATTTTATTATTTATAGTTTTTCACATTATTACAATCACATATATGTATGTGTAACTGTCGTGTTTATACATACGTACATATATAAGACTAGAGAAGACTTGCCCTCGCTTCGCTTGGGTACGTTTTACGTAATAAATATAAACAAAAGGTCTCTGATTCGAATAATTTAAAGAGGAATTTACATGTACACATAGAAACTTGATTATAAAACTCTTTAATTATTTGGATAAGGATAATTAATAAACATACGAATTACACAAATTAAAACCAAACGCAGTTATTGTAGCACAAACTCGCGGATTTCTTTTGGGTAATGATGGGTACTATATGTATCATCAATAGTTTTTGCAGCGCGCACACACACAGCCAAATAATAACTTTGATAGGCACTTTTGGTACATTGGGTTACATTATTGCAATAGGGTCTTGGACTGTTTTATGAAAAGTATCTCAGCCTATTGTTTACATAAATAAAATGCTACTAAAAATATTTTTCGGCAGAAATTACTGTATCCTTTGTTAAAAAATTGAACATTATTTTTCACTTTTGAATTTGGCGCTAAAACGCCACTCTTTAAACAATCGTCGAGCTTGACGTCACTTATCATACAGAGCGTGTGTACACTGTAAAGAGCTCGATTATATTTCGTAATCTGTGGGCTCGATCGATTGAATTATTAGGTAATTGAAAAGGAAACAAGAATATCGAAAATGAGTGAGTAAATCAATTAAGTATTATCACTGTTGTTCAGTGCTCTTATGTGAAAATAATACCAATTAGAACTGGACCTGAGAAATTGTTCATACCTGTGCCTCATGATAAAAATATGCGAAAAAAGTGGGTGAATCTGTCATTAAGGCGAGATTGGAAAAATCAATCCATAAAGTCAATGATTTACATCTGTGAAGATAATTTTGATATAAGTATGCATTATAATATCAAATATTCATTCAACTATACTTATAAATATTAAATGGCATGGCCATGGCATTGACCAGGAACGTAAGTAAATTTAAATATTACTTTACTTAAACGATTAAAACTTTGAGATTACAGAGAATTGAGTTTTCGAAACTACACTGTATAAACAACAAACTAGCACAGATCATATAATACTTTATTAGACACTAGTGACAATGATAAGTGACGTCACGCACCGTAATTGGCTTTTGTAGTCACGTGATTTTGGTATTAAAAATAATAATTATGTTAAAAATAAATTAAAATCATGATTTTTATTTAATTATTCCTTTTAATAATGAATTCTAGCCCCATAAACTACCGCTATACAAAACGTCACATCATTTTATTACTACAGTCCAAGACCCTATTCTCGTAAGGATCTCTAATTTTTTTGAAAATAAAATAACCCCCCATGCTACTAGCTGATAATGTAGTTTGCTAAAGGTCAATGAATTTTTAAAATTGATTAAGTAGGTTTTGAGTTGATCGATTACAAACAAACATACAAGAACAAATCTTTTCTCTTTATAATATTAGTTTAGATGTATTCGGTAACAAAAAGTAAGATTCTACTAATAAATACTAGTACCTATCTACGAATAAATCTATGCTTCACATATTATAATTCTTAATTAACTCAAAACTAGATAACTTAATCTTTATATAAAATTGAAATGTTTTTTAGAATTTTCTGCTCAGTTTCGTTTCGCTGCGTGCACACACACACACATACACTACACCCTTCACGTCTTTCAGAAACTATACATTACATTTATCTCATGTCTCATACACATTATTTGATATACAAAGAACGGTATAAAATCCACCTATTAGTGTAAGAATTATTTAAATCCGTCTCGTTATAATCTTCTTCTTCTTCTCCCTGCCCATTTCCCAATCACTTGGGGTCGGCGCAGTACATCCTCTGTACTGCTGAAAGGATTTGGCAAAAGTTTTACGACCGGCCGCCTGCCTGACGTCAACCCTCCTTGGGAATATAATATTAATGAAAATATTGTAGTATATTTTCATTGCCCAGGACATATTAGAGTGCAGGCGTTTGCAAACATAAGCATTCTTTTTCTTTTTTTACATGCATAATACGGTTCTAGGCAACTACTGAGAATTTCTCGACGGAAATTATTGGCACAACTTAACCCACACAACCACAACCAAACCACATTTTTCTTCAATGTCTCTGTCGGAACTGGGAAACCCTTGCTCACTAAAACCTAAAGTGGAACCTTATCGCCATAGTACAATAGGGTGATGCAGCATGGCTTGCGCATACACTATAACACCATATACGAGTATGTCATCTTTTAGAGTAAACCAACGAGGCAATATATCGGTATATTTACGTTTGCAGAATTAGTAAAAGGCGAGCGAGGTCTCGGTTTCTCCATCCTCGACTACCAGGACCCGTTGCGTCCCTCCCACACGTTGGTGGTGATCCGCTCACTCGTACCAGGCGGCGTGGCGCAACAAGATGGACGGCTTATCCCTGGTGATAGACTGCTGTTTGTTAACGATCAGGTACTTGTTTTTACTTATTTTAACTTTTACATCTTCATCATATATTATTGTACTGATGATATTTTAATTATATATTGCTATATGGCTAACTGTTATTGTCTTGTAAATTATGTCAGTTGTTCAAATTTTTAAGTAATTGATCTAAAAAGGAAGTTCAATTTAACCTGTACGTGCGCATCAATAATCTACACTACCTCATGTATCTTGTGTCTTAGAGGACGTTAATATCTGCGTATTTTATATTAGCGTATAGTACATCGTATTCAACCCTCTTTAACGTCTCAGTGCTGGGCACGAGCCTCCCTTCAATACGAGGGGGATCAGGCTATAGTCCACCGGGCTGGCCTATTGCTGATCAGCGGACTCGACATGCCTTTCGAAAATTTGCTAGGTTCTCTCAGACATGCAGGTTTCCTCACGATGTTTTCCTTCGCCGTAAAACGAGTAGTGATTATATCGGAAACGATTCGCACATGAAATTATGAAAGGTGCGAAACGCGAGATTCGAACGCTGTTTAGTCGGTTTTCCAAGCGAGCGCGCACGTGTCCCCAGAACCTGGAGAACGCGAGCCTGGAGCAGGCGGTGGCGGCGCTGAAGGGCGCGCCGCGCGGCGCCGTGCGCATCGGCGTGGCCAAGCCGCTGCCGCTGGCCGACGCGCCGCCGCCGCCGCTGCCCGCCAGCGCCCCGCCCGCATCTAACACCAACTAAAACACTTTAAAACGCACCTAAACCTATACATCTATACAGATAAATAAAATCGAAGCGTCTGTTTGTAATGTCAAAATAACGACCTTTTACTGAATGCATATGGAATTATTATATGCGGTACTTAAAAGAAAAACACATTTTTTTTAATTTTTGTCTGTCTGTCTTTTTTGTTTCTTTTCTGTTTTTTTCCGGATAATCTCTGAAACGGCTGGACTGATTTTGACGGGACTTTCACTCGAAGAAAGCTGATGTTTATAGGGAGTAGCTTAGACTACTTTTATGTTAGAAAAAGAATTAGGGTTCCGCTCAAAAAAAATAACGTACCTAGGGAGGTACCTGAGTCGCTAGTAGTATTATAGTCTAGCAATCCATACAGTCGCCTAACTAAAGCATCTAGGCAGAAAAATCGTGCGGCGGATGAGCGCATCGGACTGCCATACGTTCTTTTTCCATATGACTGTCGGAAATGACTTTAGGATTGACGGTTTTAACTGTAACTTGCTACGAAATAGTACTACCGCGTTTTACCTTTACAATCGTTCGCCAAGAAAACTGGCATTTTTTAACATTTGGTAGTGTTCGGGTAAAAATCAAAGGAGATCATGTACTGTATGGATTTTTATACTGTGATAGTATTGTGCGTTTGTATACTGATAATAATAATTGCACTCGATATATCGGTCAATTTATTGAAACGTCAAATAAGATTTTACTCCTCTCTCGCTGTGTTAAATAAATTCAGATAAGGAACTTAAGTTTAAATCGCAATGTAATACAATTTTTTTTCAAATAATAATCCATCGGACTAGTGAGTTTTAATGTTTTTTTTGGCTTAGTAAGTGAAGGACTTTATATGAAGCAGATTTCTTTGTAACTTACATTCCATAATAACAAATATTATACGTAATTTACATATTTTGTAATATAGAATATTTTCTTGCAATAATATCTTGGTTGAACATTTAAATTTTTTAAGACTTTGCTATATTACAGAAGTATTGACGTTTACTCCTACATCTACATATCTTTATCTTTTTAAGTATAGCCTAATGATATTTTATGTGTATGCTAGACACAGTAGTAAATAATATCTTTTCTTTTAATTTATATCGATATTTTAGTCTTAGTCTATTTAAAATTGTATTACTATATTTCGTCTTATTGTTCTACTTTCTCTTTTAATATTATTATTACAATTATTTAACATTTGATTCTATTTTCAAATTTATATTTTCATGTATTACTATTCTAGTTGGTAAGTTTATGCGATTCCATACAATTCGACACTAAGTGATAACTAACGGCTGAACACTCAGAATATTTATTTAGTATTAAGTTTTCAATGTAACACACCGTTGAATGATAGTTAATTATGTTTAATATCACTGTTGACCTTCTAATGTTTACGAAACAAACATAGCAAAATATATTTTATTGTATAATAAATAAATTTGACATTTAAAATTAATTCTTAAATAAAGGATGAATGAAATGAAAGTTTTTTTTTATTTCCAAACTATGTATATATTAGTAACAAAAATATGTACACCACTTCAATTCCAATCACAACAACTGCACTATACTTTATTTGAGCAACAACTTTGTATAAACGTATCTCCCTTTCCCTAAGACCTAAGCTTATTTAAACTATTCCTTGTAGAAACCTTCTATTATGTCTTTGTATTTCTCGTAAACGACATTCCTTTTTATTTTTAGTGTTGGTCCTGAAATTAAAAAGTTGATTAGCATTTTCTATGTAATATACAATTAGTTTAAGTAATTGTGTTAGATTAGGACTACTTTAGTTAGTGTATTTCAGCTTAATTGAAGATATCATTACATAATTTAAAATTTGAATATTATATAATATATGTATATATAAATAAATGTAAGGTAAATATTTTAAAGCTATTTTCTTGACCATGTCGTTTTGTAATATAATGGGTATATATTGATTTACTTTACAATATTTCAAGTATTTATCTATTGATAAACTATTAGCTTACCTAATTCCCCGGTATTCATAGAGAAATCGGCGGGTAATATAGCGAATTTTTGGATCTTTTGCGCATTCGAAATAGCCTGTTTGTTGGCACGAGCGAGTCCGTCCTCTATAGCTTTGTAAACCTGAATAAAATATACATTTTTATTTTTGTTATACGTTAGTTTATCTGTATATTATATATAGAGACAAACATAAAACAGTTCAGTATCATTGTGTCCTGTGTTTGTAAACCGTTTTTTTTAATAGCACAAAAAGAAATATAAAAAATTAGTCAGCAATATTTTAAGGTTCAATTTAATTGCTATCAAAGGATCAAGACGTACATAATCATTTATTTAAATTCATGAATTAGTATCAAAACTTACAGCAGGGTCTTTGGTCCTGACAATCTCGCTAACGGTAGTAGCTTTGCTTCCAAGACTTGCTACCCATTTCCTTGCCTCTGTATCTAATTCATCTAAAGGATCTCCAGCTGAGTTTACTTTGGCCTAAAAACATTATTTTTAATAAGTTATTACAATTATCTCTTTTGTTGTATATTTGTATGTGTTTATTACAACAGTTTTAAATTTAACCAACCTTTAGCGTTAATAATATGGATAAGAATTTCCGTCTGTCTCCCACAAGGACCGCATATCCGACATGCAATAGCTCAGATTGAACCACTTGCTCGATAAGCACCGGAGCTATGTTTTCACCTCCAGCGGTTATCAATATTTCCTAAAAAAAAGCTGAACTTATAATCTTATACATACTTTAATACACCTAAAATCCTTTAAGCCTTCCATTATCGTCATATCTATTACGTAATTTAGATAAATTATGGAAAATATTTTTATTATGACTGATCTATAAACAAATATCTATGTTTTATAAATATGTAAATACAACGTACCTTAATTCTACCTGTTATGTATAATTGGTTTTGGCTGTCCAATCGACCAACGTCTCCGGAATGCAGCCAGCCTTCATCGTCGAGTGCAGCTTTAGTTTTTTCCTCGTCGTTGAGGTATCCCATGAAAACATGACGTCCCCGCATTAAAATCTCCCCCGGGCCGTTAATGCTAGCTGAACCTTCAAATTTGGTTTCAGTCCCGTCAAGAACCTCACCAGATGAATCCAATCTGAATCTGAAAATGAAATTATATTGAAGTTTAAATTAAAACACTTATTATTATATTGAGAGTCGACTTGATATAGAATTATTAACAAAAATATGAGGACTTAATTTTAACATTCTCAAAGGGTTATTTCGATGAAATCAACAAAATTAATATCAAGTATACAGATTAAATTTTGTAATTAACGACTATATTCAGAGAGGTGATTTAAAGACTTACCTACAAAGGTTTAAGTTACAAAGGTTTAGTCGCGTAATTAAGTGATAAATAATTATAATCTATGCCTCGACAAGCGAGATACGTCATTTTAAGTGTTCTATGTATATTTTATATGCAATTATTATATATTTTGGACGATTATTACACCTTTTATTATAATAGACAAAGACTATATGAAAGAAATGAAGTCGGTTAAAAAGTGACCATTTACCATTAAAATATATTTTTACGGTAACAGATTTGAGTGCGTTGACGTCTTATAAAAAAAAACTTTAAAAAAGTAAGATTTAATCTTCATAATGTTTTGAGGTATCTTAAAAAATCTATCAGTAGTTTAAAACTTCAATTTCCATTTTCATTGATAGAATGATTTATGAAACTTGTCCATTACTTACCTGGGGTAAACACTGAGAGTGTGCGCGCCGGCCGCCTCGCTCATGCCAAAGGCATCCACAATAGGAATATCCAAGGACATAAAGAATTTCTTGATATCCGGCGAGAGTGGTGCAGCGGCCGTTACGAAGGTAAGACATTTGTCTAGGCCCAGGTTGTCCCGTACTTTGTTAAATACCAGCGATTTAGCCAACTTATAACCGCATGACGTGCCTTCTTGCCTGAACGAGTAAGTCATAAGCTTGTTTAATATCTATTACATAAATTTTTATGAAACAAACTACTATAAATCTACATAGTACTAAATATGACTATGTTTTACATGTTTATGATAATAATCATATACGGTAATTAGCTATTTAGGAAATCATGCTAGGACACTTACTTCTTCTATACTAATTTTATAAAGAGGTAAAGTTTGTGAATTTGTGAGGTTGTAGGGGGTAATCACAGGATCCCCCCCAACGTGCGTTTACCTTGTCGTGGTGGGGGGGCTCAGTAGTAGTAGCGAAGCTAAGAAACGCACAGGGAGGTTGCCCACTTCGGTGGGCGGTGGGAGGTGGCCCTCTTCGGGGGGCGGTGTACCTTGCGGGTTGCTCCTGGTACTTCTCTGATAGCAGAGTGGACCGTGGAGCAACCCCATGGTTGTTGTGGTCTGCTTCGGCAGACCTGCCGTCGGGGCGTCGTAGTTGAATGCGTAAGCGATCCTGCGACGCCCCATTAAGACGGGGGAAGGTTTTGTTGGGTTTTAGTGGGTAGTACTGGCTGTATTACGCCGGTGAGTCCCACACGTCGTGCGTAAATGCATTTCCCAACGTTAAAAAAAAAAAAAGGGTAATCACAGGATCTACTGAACCGATTTAGATGAAATTTGGTAAGAAGATAGTTTGAGACCATGGAAAGGACATAGGATACTTTTTATCCCGAAAATCATCGCTTAAGGAAGTAAAAATGGGGATGAAAGTTTGTATTGGGAAGCAAGCTAGGAACGAACCCGAGCGAAGCGAGGGCGAGTCGCTAGTATTATATAAAAATGAATAAAATATAATGAAGCTAATATAAAACATTAATACCTAGTATAGTATTATGTGATCTCTGTTAATACTAAGATAAATATGACAGGATTCGGATTTTCTACGGGGTATTCACATACCAATAATTTATCATTTCACATAGTGTGAAATCTATCGGCAGACCTCTCATATCCGCTGAGAAAGCACTAATAAAAGGATAAAATAATATTAATATAATCCAAAATATTTTAGTCCTTATATTTATACTAATATTTTTGATTTTTGCATTTTATAGTAAATTTCTTAGGAATGGCTATCCAACATCGCGATACAACTCTTACTACAGAAACGAAGCAATTATACATAAAATTACGCGAACGGAGCTGCGACAAAAGATAAAAATAATATAATATATTTCTTTATGCCAACTAGTATGTAAGCTTTTTATTACACATTTTGTATTGCGTCATACACACCCATTCATTCTCGCTAAATGATGTTGTGTCCCTTTCTCTTTTGCCCATACAGCTATGGATTTCTTCAAACCACCGCTGGACGCACCAACGGCCATGATTTTTTCGTACATTTTCTCCCATACTCTTGGTACTCCTAAGAACCTGATAAAATATAAATACCTTATTAAAAACTGTATTTACTATACTTTTTTAAATAATAATAATATAAACAATAAAATCTATATCTTAATTCTCAATATTTATCTTTATTATTTTATTAACCGGCATTATAATGTAGATACGAGGTATTACATTTGGTAACTTGTATTATATTTGTTTATTATATCATTAATCAGCATAAAACTAGATATGTCATATCCATGAAAAAAATTACATATTGGTTGCTTTCGGAAATACCTAAAAATGGTGAGAGTGCAGATACATAATTGATGTTTTTATGTAGGTAACACTACGACTAATTATTTACGCCATAACTTGTATTGATTATACAGGCGTGTTCATGTAGGTATTTAATTAAAGCGCATTGTTGAGGGGACAGACCAAAAAGGTTTTAACGTAATGAGTCATTTTTCCTGTTTTTCGTTAGGAATGTTAGGTTCTATTTATATCTTAAGTTAAATGTTATAATTTTGTAACAATTATTTAATAAAAAACCTGGGTTTTTTATTACTTTCTGTTATCAAACAAAAGTCTGAAATTATCATACTTAGCTCTTATTATCATAAAATATCATTATCATATGCTATGTCATTTGTGTCCATCATAACCTATTATTAACTACGCTATGTTTATCAACATGCTTAGTGTAGATAAGAGCTTCATAAATGAAATAATTATCTACGTAAGTACCTATACGAAAAATATAACTTAAGAGTTTTGGGACGCTTAACACCTCGCGGTTAATTTCTCAGAAATTAATTGTTAACCGAGCCACCTGTGGTTCGGCAGTCGCTACTCGCCGACAGGTTAAATTCAGTAAATTATTCGATTTCTTCATAAAAATATACTTTAATACTGACCTAGTTGGCCGTACTTCTTTTAGTGTTTCAATCAAACTTCCTTTGAGAGCATCAGGCTGTGCAAAATATACTGTTACCGCGTTAGCTAGAGTTATGTAGATATCAACTACCTGAAAACATATACAATATTATTCAAAGTAGGTGTAGCGGCTTCATCGCCAGATCCAAGATATAATATATAACGGCTATAAGCGAGCTAGCTTATAGCCGTTTCGAGTATGATTTAAAGCTGTTATAGCATATACAAAGTAACAAACATACGCGTCCATAATCCTAATTAACCTTAGATATTTTAAATAAAACTATGTTTTCGGATTATTTCGCGGATTTATTTAGATTTTTGGTTCCCGACGTTTCAAATGCTTTATAGCAATCATGGTCACGGGAGAGACTGAGGTTTATAGACGTCTCATCGACGTTATATACTTGTTACAGACAGTGCCTACCCACTATTTTTCAAAAAAATCAAAAATGGCATCACAGTACCTTGCAATATTTGTTGAATTTGATTCTAAATATTTTAATTTTTTTAATAAGTATTCTCAGACCAATAAAAAAGTATTTATTGGTCTGAGTAAGTATTATAATTAAATATAGCAATATTATTCATTTAATTTTAGCTGTTATTATTATAATTACTAATATTATTCTGTGTTGCTATTGTTATACTAAGTATAACCATAAAGAAAATAAAAATATTAATTATCTATTTAAGCAATATTATTGTTTTATATGTAATTTAAAAAATGATGCTAATTCTCCATACAAACTTTCATCCCCATTTTCTCCCTCTTATGAGATGATTTCCGAGATAAAAAGTTTAATATCACCTTCCTAGGGTCTCAAACTATCTTCTTACCAAATTTCATCTAAATCGGTCCAGTAGATCCAGAGATTGCCCCCTACAAACTCGCACACTTTACCTCATTATAATACTAGTATAGACATATATAATTATATAACTGTTAACATACTCGTATAGGGTAATAGTACGCGTTAGCGTATAGCGTATAGCGTTTTCTGTATGTAAATACAATTTTATCGTACAAAATATGTTTTTACCTGTGCAGCAACATGACTTAACGGTAGATAGGAAATAAGTCGTTCGTTGGTGGGTCTTATGTCACGTAATCTTTCACCAACGGTGTACGTGTCCCATATGAGATTATCATGAGAGAGCATCACAGCTTTAGGTGGGCCCACTGTTCCAGACTGAAATTAAGTATACAATTATATTAAGTAGGTAATTTTTGATATAATTTAGTTTGTGTCATGCCTTATCTAAAATTATCAAGTACCGTGAATTTCATCGATATAAAGTATTCAAAGAATATAGATAAAAATCTGTTGCATTTTTAAAACCTGAATTAATGTGAAAAACTACACATGTATGTATAAATGAAGATTTAGGTACTTTTTTGATATCTACATTATGCATCTTAATATCTTACACATGTGTTTTGTTTACCTTTATAATATTATAAAAAAAGTTCGTGTGTACTACGAGTACTACTGTACTTATGAACGCACGTTAGACGTTATGGTTATTTGTTTTTTTTTTGAGCATTTAAATAAAAGCTTGTTCTTTTTATTAGTATTCTTCTCAGCAAACTCTTTCATTTGATATCCATATCATGAGGGTGAATAAAAAAACAGGACGACCGGACTAAGACTCTTCCTAATCCAACAAGACCAACAAAGCAGTTATGAAGCAAAAAGATATTCACTATAGATTACTGTAATAACTCTTCTAGAAATATAAAACTTTATCATTTAATCTCGTTTTCTTAATATGGATTTTTTTATCGATAAATTAATATTTAATAATCATCTGGCAAAAGAATATACAAGCGGTTTGCTAAATATGTTTATGTAAGCTATGGCTTACATAGATGTAAAAATTAAGTACATGTAAAAAAATATTGCAAACACGAAAATTGTTAAAGTTAAGACCTTGTAAGATGTCGTGACCCTGATGATGGACTTTAAACAGTCGTAATTCGTTACGCTTTGATGATTTGCCGATTAGAATATATAATATGTATTATTATACGCGTAATGTTTAAAAAAAACAAAAATAAAATTTGCTATTATAATATGTTATTTTCATACTAGAGTATTTGAATAAGAGACTTCTCTTATTTTGCTTAGCGATATTGGCAATGGTTAGACGTTGAAAGATTACGGTATTTTCTTACACAACTAGAGAAGTAAACATATAAACTTATTATTAATTAAGTCCGCTCGTTTCTATATAACACTAATTTAATATAATTTAACCATCTTATTACTTACAACATCATATAATTATAGTCATTTGACTGAATATCTTTAATATTTTTAAGAACTTATCTGTCTATGATTCAATATCTGTTGAAATTGAAGGAGTCATTGATTTTATTTTATCTCATATCAACATTTGTTCTGATCTGTATCATTTTTATCGCGACATTAAACTCTATTTTCATCAGACTATTGTCATTAGATACCTAATATTAACTTTCTTAATGAATCTTAATAAGAACCATCGATGTTTTACTATTAGATATTTCGCTCTTGAATGCTCAAGTTTATCTAAATGAAATAAAAAAATGATTTTATACATACGGTGTAAACAAGTGTGCAGCATTCGTTGACAGCAATAGTTTTCAGAACGTTATCAAGTTGCGTGTCTGGCTCTTTGGAACCCATTTCCATTAACTGTTCCCACTGAGAATAGAAATCATTATAACAACTAAAATTTTTATACATGTATTTACTTATAAATATTTAAACTATTATAATATATTTCTTGTTATATTTAGATTGTTTTTTAATAATATTAATTTATATTATCTCCTTACACTATAGACTCCAGGTACGGAGGTATCTACAGGTCCTTCCCATTGTACAATAGCTTTTAAATGTTTCAGTCGACTCTGTATTGAGAGTATCTTTTCCAGTTGCTTTTTGTCTTGAACTGCGCAGATATTAGCTCGAGATGTTTCGAGGCAATGAAAGCAGGCTTCGGCTGAATTAGTTGTATATATACCCGCTGCGTATCCCCTGAAAAGCAATAATGAAACTCACGTTATGTCCCTAATATGACTTTTATTCTTGGTAAAAAATTATATAATTTAGAAATTAAATAAAATATTCAAATATTCTTAACATAATATAAAGCACTCATATAAATGATAATATTACGTTAAAATACCTTCTGGAATATTATTCATATTATTTTCTCACAATTTCTTGAACAATGTAGAGTTATTGTACAACCTTGATAAGTGGTAGAGATAAGACACTTGTAACTCTTTATTTAGTGTTATAGTGTTATCTAATTATCAGAGTTTTTCTCATAACAATATTAGGGATCATTGATGTATATACATAAACTTTATATTGTTAAACAAAATATCGTATTAACAGCGCCAGCTACGTCAGTAATAGACTCATTATTTTATTTTTTAGTTAACTTTTTAAGTAACTTACCCAGCGTGAATGGCTGCAAGATCGGCAATGTACCACTGTTCGGAATTGAACCCTAAAATGCAAACTGAGTGGTACCGTTCAAGACCTAATTTAAGGAAAGCTTTTGCAATTGTGCGTACGTTGACTTGATATTGCCTGAAAATATTATTTATATTACTTTAAATAAGTACCTATATAAACATTTAAAATTATTGTAATATCTTTTGGTTGGGTATAAGACAAAATAAATTCTAGGAATATTTCCTTACATCCTAATTGTTCGCTACACCCTAATAGCATTGAACGACTTTGGACGACTGCAGATCATGAGATACTGGATCATAGAGTATGTTGCTACATATAAAAATACTGGATTTAAGTCCCTCTGTCAGTCAGTGACGAGGTGTTCAGTCAAGAAATTGGCTATTTATAAGATACTAGCAGAACCCGCGGCTTCGCTTGCGTTCAATCTACAAAAAAAACCTCTTTGGCTTTATTTTATATGACTAATAATAAAATTAATTTTATCGCTGTAATGATTTTCAAATGTATGAGTATTATTTTGACTCGTGTATCGCGAGGTTCTGTACCGCCGAATATTGTGTTGTTTTACTAACAAAACACAAATAAAAATATTTACGTTTTCGGAATACATACTTTACTATTTGCAAAATTTTTACTTATATGCTGTAAATTTATTTTCGTTTAAAGTCGGTATTTAGCAAGTTCCACTAACTCTATTTTTTGCACATTTTTCTACTCCATCTTTCCAAAGTTACAGGAAAACAGTAGGTACAATGATAGAACTCGCATACAATTTTTACGACATTAGAATTATGTTACTCGGCTCATATGGGTTTTTTAACTAACATACTAACCAGGCTAATATCTACGTTATTCTTAGCCTCCCTCATTTTTTAAAATTACATATATAACGTGCTATTTTTATTTTGTTATAGCTTTCTGACCGCGACTACGCTCGCGTGGAGTAAAAAAAATGCTCAGTTTTAATTTTCGTTGAATTTATATTCTCCCTCTCGCACTCTCTAGGTCTGTTATAGTCACTGCTCTGATCAGCCGAGAAACTATACATAATTTTCCTTTGGACTTGGATAAATCTCCGTTCTCTATTCTATATCCCACACACTTATGATTTATGAGAACTTGAGCTATGTTACTCTGTTTGAATATATTTCATACGGGGATAAGCTCGGGTGAGATTGAGCGGGAGTTTAAACGTAGCGTAAACCATTGTACCACCTTCTAAAAGTGTGGTAACAATTCCATATGAGATCACAGCTCAGGCAATCCCACGATTACTTCTTAATCTGGCTTAGAGCAATTTTATTTAAAAAAGCCTATTTAAGTATTTAAATGTTAGTTATGTATTATGCGTCAATAGCTTTAATGCCGTTGTTTAAGTCAACTCGATCCTAATATTATTTTTACCCTCTCAAGTGTCGGATTTCGAATAATATTATGATTGATACACGTATTCTTTAATTTTTATCTCGGATGTCCTTAATGACTTTTCAAAACTAAAAACCACTTCCCGTGGATTTCACATTAAAAAAGGCAGAGTTTCATACAATCTTTCATCCCCTATTTTACTCCCTTAGGAGATGAATTTCGAATAATCCTTTCTTATCGCATGCTTACATCATATAAGGAATACGACCGCCAAATTGCACGTTTCTACGACCAGCGGTTTACGCTGTGCGTTGATCCATCAGTCAGTCAGGACTTTTATAAATATATCGACTTATAATAGAGCCACAGCCATACTATGGATTTTTAAAAGCTATCTGAAAGTTTTATTTGATTTTTTAACAAATATATATATACTAGCAGAGACCGCCGCTTCGCTCGCGCTAAAACTACAAGAAAACTTCTAAAATGGTAGGTTTCATATAAACTTTCATCCGCTATTTTATCCCCATAAGGAATGAATTTCGAAAAATGCTAAAATACGTATTTAACTAATTGTATTGAAGTGCATTTATAGCAAGTTTCAAGTAATTCTGATCATAAATATTTTTTTGGATTGTATTATAACGTGTTTTCCCGTAGGAAAGACATAATCTCCGGCGGTAAAAAGTACAGCCCTCCAACCACCTCCACACAAAAATCACGCCAATCCGCCAAGCCGTTTCGACGTGAAAGAAAGACAAACAAACAAACACACTTTCACATTTATAATATTAGTATGGATATTAATAACAGAAACTGTTATGCAACGTTGTTTTTACGTAAGTTATATACTTATAAACAATGTACAGTTGCTTGCGACATTTTCCTATTATTAAATTACTGTATCATTACAGTACGCTTGGGGAAAATGACAGCGCGTTTTTACTCACTTATATGTTAGTTTATGCCATTTTCCATCATTTTTCTTGGTGGCCAACGCTGCTTCGTTAGGATAACGAATAGCCATTCTATTTAAAAGACCAGGAACTGACACGGGAGGTTCTGCGGAGGGTCCACGAGACCCTATACGGAGCTTTACATAACCTCCAGGAGAACAACTAATATAACTGTCTGCGGGTATAATCTGATCCGGTCCTGGAATAAAAATATAAATTAAAATTTGTTGAATAATTGTTTTCACCGATCGTCGATTTACACTTATCATAGGTTTAAAAAAGCTAAGCTGGTATTCCCGTAATTTTTGATATTGTTATATTTCTGTTTTATTACTATAATCCTATTTTTAGTGCGCGTATAATTCTAGATATACTTAGTACATAAAAAGAATTTACATATGTATAATTATTTGTTTATGTGTCTGTTTATATCATATCTATTTGCAAGTAGTATACAATAATTTAAGATTTATTAGTCTGAATACAAAAAATACATATAACCCATTATTTATAAATATGTATCGATCACACTATGGGCTAGTGAGGCCGTGTCGTTAGCTTATCTATACATATAATAGAATTCTAACCAAGTCGAAACTGTACATTAAATATTTTTTGGAAAACCATAATGAAATAATAATTACGATACAGAGGCCGAATCTATAGTTTTTTGAATTTTTGTCTGTCTGCCTGTCTGGGAACGCATCAAGACAAAACCACTGGACAGATTTTGAAGAAATTTGGTTTGATAATAGCTAACCGGATAATCGGAAACCGGATAATCATCCGGGTCACCATTTAGGATACTTTTTACTGCAGGAAAATATCTCTGAGAAATCTATAAAATAAACCTTAAAACGTAGGGACGAATCCTAGCGGATCGAGGGTGAGTCGCTAGTTATAAATATTTGTATAAAGATTAGATATTTCATGAATTTATGTACACTTTGTATCAGTACTTATATTGTCATTTGTTACACTTACGTAATATTCGCTAATGGTTAGTTTGTCAAGATTAATTTACTACACTATACCTACATAAATAAACGAATATATTACATAAAAGCGATTCCAATATATGTATAATATAGAAATAAGAAACACTGAAATAGTCACCATTTAAATATTTTTGAGGATCGGTACCATTAGGAACATGCATGCTGTTAACTTTAACAATTTCTTCTCCGTTTTCAACAATGACAGTCGACGCGTCCTGTAAAAATATTATTTCATTAGATAAACTTGATTATATAATGTACTACATAATAAATTATGTTTCCAAGCGATTATCTTATCATTTAAACTTGATATTATGTACTCTTAATTGACCTCCAGCTACTCGTACCTTATCAATGCAACGTTAAGACTGAAATTAAAGATAGGAAATCTATTAATGCTTCAATATCGAAAAATGTCTTAGATTTTTTTTTGTATTTCTTACAATTACATTTAAACGCTACTTATTCAATGCTAAATGTTCCACTAACGGTAGGTATCTAATTTGTTTTAGATGTGCTCGAAATCGGTCAAGTGTGAGTTGCATTTGCAAACCAAGGGCTCTGTAGCCTCTATCACCGCACATTCGTTCCAATATTATAAACACGAAAATTTGTGAGATGTTGCGCTTATTACTGGGTCTATTTTTATTGAAATGCCAAAAAATCATAAATGTGCTACATATTTTTCTACCAGTAAAACATGATTTATGATGGAGTAGTGTTTTAAACCCCCGGTCATTGACATTTGACTAATTTTTAGAACTTCTCATATTTTACATTTAGCCCTATTGTGTCAAGCTTGACGCTTGTATAAAGTGCTACGTTACGCTATGGTAAAAAATAAATAATTTATTAAGTCCATTTGTAACCGACTTCCAAAAAGGAGGAGGTTCTAAATTCGTCGGAATCTTTTTTTTATTGTATGTTCACCGATTTCTCGAAGACGCCTGAACCGATTTTGATTTTTTTGTTTCGAAGGGTATACTTCCCAGGCGGTCTTATTTAAATTTTATCGAAATCGGTCGAGCGGTTTTAAAAAAATCAACAATAAATATTTTTTAAATAAATTGCTTAATCGAATATGTTATTAAAAACGTTCTTCTTACAAGTAACCTGCTTATTAGGTCTACACTAAAAATGGAAAAATAAAAACTAAAAAAAAAACGACTTCCAGGCACTAAAATGTAAAAAATATTAAATAACTAAGCGGGGATTTTTATTTAGAATAGATACCTAATCAGATATTTTCGAAGTCGGTTTTAATTTTTTTATAAAAAGTTTTTACTATTTATTACGACATCTACCATTCAGTAAAGCACATTGCTTCAAATACGGCTTAATAAAAAAAATACCGCCGAGAACCTCCTCCTTTTTGAAGAAGTCGATTGAAAATACTGAGTACTGACAATGCAATCAGTAGGTCGGGCAGCGCAGGCATAGTATTTAGTAATAATATTGATACAACTGAACTTTTTGGACATTAAAACCTATAATAAATCATGTGTGTATGTTGCCATTAATGAGGCATATAATCATATGTTTTCCCTTTACAAAGGGAAAGAGAATGGTGGGGCAGAGGGAGATGCCCGTTTTGGCTAAAAAACGCTCAACAATTTCTTGTATTTAAAAAATATATAAATATTTTTTTATTATTTGAGGTATTCGTTTATTTAATAAAAAGTGGCGATATTTTACGCATTATAAAAGAAAAAAGCACAGATTTATACTAAAAGATATTTTTTTAATGATACATTGAAATTTGAAATAAAAATGACATAAATACGTTGTCTACTTTGCTTAGCATTTTGTTCTTAACATTGTTTTTAACAGGTTGCTACTGCACTAATGCTTTTGTTCCTGTTCAGTTGTTGGATAATGTACTGAGTGCAATGATGACGTAACAATATTTTTTTTATGTTATCAAAAAAACTAAATTTTATCTACATATTATCATTATCATGCCCTAAAGTGCATGCAGGGCCGAAGTGTCTTTGCGCGTTGGACATTCCCCTTTACGTCTTAATTGAAAGGAATAAATATCATGTAATTAATTTCAAACAATAGTATAAAACTAATAAACGAGTACATAATATTATAATTTTCCATCGCTTATAGTAATTATCACGTTTCGGCTCATAATTATGCAGGTAGGTATTTGAAAATATAAGCTAAGATAATTCTATGAATATTTTAATTTACGTACTTATTTTTGTAAATGCATTTTTTTCCTTAAACAACGATTTCTCAACGAAGTGCAAGATCGTCTCACGAGTGACCTTGGTAAGCTCTAAGTAATTCGTTATAGCTGTGTGAAACCTATTGTTCTTAAAAAAGGTCGATACCCTATGAAGTACTTTATATTCTTAGTTGGTGTTTTATGATATATCTCCTCTGATAATCTCATTAATTTCTAATATAGCTACAAACATGAAAACGGTTTTATATTTATTATTCATATTTAGCATATATCCCAAAAACTTCCTGAACAATCCACTTTATTATCTCGATAACTATAAGAATTAGTAATGCCTAAAATTGCTCAGGTCTTCAGCTACTTTTTACAATATACTAATTATCCCACGAGAAGTATAATTCGTATTTTAGGTAACTAGGTATGTAGGTACATTTCATAAGTAACAAAATTACGGATGCCAGACAACAAGGATAGTAATTAAATCATTCGTTTAGTAGTTTAGTAGTTTTGAGGTTTCTTTTTAACAGAAGTTAGACAACTATTTTCGAAATACAGAAAACTTACATAAAATACAGTGTTTTTTATTGTATTCATCTCAAATAAATTATTATAATAGGTATACTTAATCATACATACGGATGCGAGTTTTACCTGCATTAAATTAATGTTACAAAATTAATTTTTTTGCGTCCATATGCATAGGTACTTATTTAAAATAAAGGAAACAATTCTGTTGAAATCTATACATATAATAAAATTGTAACTGAGTCGAATCTGTACATTAAATATTTTTTGGAAAATCTAATTGAAATAGACATTATTATCGATACAGAGTCCGAATATATAGTTTTTAGAATTTTTGTCTGTCTGTCTGTCTGTCTGTTACCGCATCACGAGAAAACCACTGGACAGATTTTGATGAAATTTGGTATGGTGATAGCTGGCTATCCGGGTCAACATATAGGATACTTTTTACCGCGGGAAAGTATATCATTTCTGAGAAAAAATACAAAAACTGCATTGTAAGAGTATACAAATATATGTAAAATCTAAGAATTTGGTTTTTGGTCATCTGAACGCGGGCGGAGCCGCGGGCAATGCTAGTATAACATATGTAAATAACAATATAATTTGCCATTTGCCTAAACCACTGGTCGTAGAAACGTGAAATTTGGAGAACATATTCCATTTTATAGGTACAGTGTAGGCATCCGCTAAGAAAGAATTTTTCGAAATTCATCCTCTAAGGGGGTAAAATAGGAGATAAAGGATTATATGATCATTCCATAAGGGGGTAAAATGAGGGATGAAAATTTGTTTGAAATTATGTAATTGATGCATGGAAAGTGGTATTTACCTTTAAATGTAAAAATAAAATTCATCCCTTAAAAGGGTAAAAGGGGGTTGTGCTGTTTATATGAGGAAAAACATGTTTATGATCAAAATTACTTGAAACTTGATATTAGTGCTGTTCAATACAATTAAATGAACACGTATTTTAGTTTTTAAACGACTTCCAATTCTAAAAAGAAAGAGGTTCTCAATTCATCGGATTTTTTTAATGTATGATTACGATACGATTATTCGAAGACGACTGAACCGATTTGGAAATATTTTTTTTGGTTTCAAAGGGTATATATACTTCCCAGGTGGTCCTATATAAATTTTATGGAAATCGGTCGAGCGGTTTTTAAAAAAATCAACAATAATTTTTTTTTATAAATTGTTTAATCGAATATGTTATTAAAAAAAATTCTTCTTACAAATTTCCTGCTTATTACGTCTACCCTAAAAATGTAAAAATAAAAACTTTTTAACAAAAAATAAAAACCAACTTCCAGGCACTAAAATGTACCTACCTAAAAATAACTAAACGGAGGTTTTCATTTAGAATAGATACCTAATCAGATATTTTCGAAGTCGGTGCCAGCCTATAATATTTTAAGATATGAATATCTAATAGGTAAATATTATGTATTTTACGTATCCAAATATATTAGATTTGCTTTGCATCAGCTTGCCTTACAGAATCCATCTTCACGCGAATGCTACTCGCACTTGATGATTTTTCAGATATAAATATTTGATTATGTTGAGCCAAAAACTTACTTTTTCTAATATATTATATATATACAAATATCTAAAAATAATACTTTCGCACATTGCGGTTCACTACTTGTATGTACCTACTGCGTGCCTACTAAAGACACGCACCTAAACCCACCCGCTTAGTTCAATAATAAAAGAATTTGTACGTTGAATAATTTGTGTGGAAGGTAAACCAAGTAAGTATACCAAGAGGTTTACATTTGTAAAATTTTTAATGTGCTTGCTCGTTTGCTTGATCATAAGATCAGGCGGTATCTGTTTTGGGTTGATGATTACCATAATCTCGATATTTTTTGTTGGAATACATAGTTCGAGCATGTTATATACTAGGAATGATAATTTCAATTTAATACAAAAAAATTACTAAACAGATTTTCAAAAAATCAGTAGAACTTTCCTAATTTTTTTAATTAATGTATACTTTAATATAAGTTGGAAATAAATAAAGTGATTTACAAGAAAATGAATGTTATTGTAAAAAAAGCGTGGAGTGCTTTGTACAATGTTTTTATACTAACTCTACTTTTAGAAATCGTACCAATGGAAAATTTATAACAACTAATATCGAGCACCCCACGCTTTTTCCATAATAGGTAACACAAATTTTCTCGTTAATCACTTTATTCTTATGCTAAAAATTATTTTTTACTTCTTACCTCGGTGTTTTTTAGTTTAAACTATAATTTATTTTCCATTTTTTGTTTTGATCTGCTATAAACGCGTATTTTTTAGTTATTTTAATTTATTTATTTTTAATAAATTACATATTGTATTGTCATCGGTCTTTGTCTAAATTTACAACGTTTCAGTTCAATCTAAAATTTTTGATAAAGATTCCGTTACATGGAAAGATGTAGGTGAAGCTAATAAAAGTGTTTTAAACATGACTTTTATGCAAGATATAGCGAACTATGTAATATTTTAAAAACATTATTTAAACTGTAAGCTAGAGCTAAGGACTAGAGTTTTAGCGACAAAAATAATAGAAAAAAAATGTTTTTCGTATTATTTTGTGAATTTTAAAAATTTGGTTCTACGAATTGGCGCTCATCCCTAGTACTAAGAGCCATACTATGCGTATACTCTTAAGTCTTTTGTAGGTTCATAGTTTTATTAGCTGTTTTGTGAAAATTAGTGCAAAGTATTGCCCGTTACTACACACAACTTTTTCCCATCTTTCTGGCTAAGAAGATAGTTTGAGACCCTGGGAAGGACATAGGATACTTTTTATCCCGGAAATCATCCCTTAAGGGGGTGAAAATGGGGATGAAAGTTTGTATGGGGAATCAACCTAGGGACGAACCCGAGCGAAGGAAGGGTGAGTCGCAAAAAACCACTCAAAAAATTGAAAGATTCTTTGAAACAGAGAAGTTTTCAATATTCACTTAGAAAATGACTACTCGTTTCATTTAAAGTTCGAATTAACTATATGTGTTTTACTTACTTTATTAAATTCTTTATAGATAAAAAGTAACCAAATTAAGCTGCAATTTGAGAGTTAATAAACGTGAAATGCCACGTAATAGAACTACAACAATACTTAGCTTGACACTTGCAGCACCAATGCATTAATATGGAATCAATAAAAAAGATAGAATATGGCTATAGTAGGAAATATCTCGATAAGAGTGATAAGAAAACTTTATATACCTACATACATTATCAATTGGTGACAAAAACCAAGTAATGTTTAGTAATGTGATAGGCTAAAGTTCCGGTATGAAAATACTGATGATGTTAAATTTATTAACATTTCAGTGGCACAAAAATCTAAACTCATTTTTCTCCTTTCCTTTTTTTTGCCTGCTTAAAGAGCTACGTAGCATTTAGCATAAGAGCTACTTTAAAAAAAACGTTTAATTGATAAGATGTGGGCAAATTTCAGGACTAGATAATAAAAAAAAACATACCTATACATATATGTATATTTTAAATTAATTTTAAGGAAAAAATAAAAAATAAGGTAAATTTATCGACATGTCTTACATACGAATATATTAGATATCCTAAAGGTGAAATTTTATAATGTTCATGATTTTTTATCATCTTTGATAAGAAAATATAGGTACGTAAAATTAGCTGACTTTTGATTGTTGCCAACAGTCGGTGACAGCCATCGAATATTTATTAGATTTCATTAGCTCTACCAAAAATATTATCATGCAGAATTAAAACATTAAAGCAAAAAAATAACAATTGTGTGATCTTTGCAACAATAATTTATTATGCAGTAATTATCTTTCATTAAAGAAACAGGTTTTGCTTGCCACATTAATTAATGTAGGTATTGTATGTAGTGATTTTAAATTACAGGGTCATTTTTAATTTACTGAAGACCTTTTGGGAATATTATTACACTATTTACATCATAACAACAACATCTGTAACAAGAAAAAATAAATACATCAATGAATAAAAAATCTTAAAAAAGATACATATTTTTTTCACCTCGTTATGTAATCATAACATAAACAAACCAATGTGTAAATTTCGGCAAACGCGGCCAGATAACGGGCGTAACGGGTTTATCAAAGGTATCGTTCACCACTGACTAACCAGTGACGTAAGTGACTAGCCGCGTGCGCTTTGGGCGACCAAAATAGTATGGAAAACATACCGCACAGGTATTTACTGTGAAAGTGCATCAAACATTTAATATATCTTTATCTTCTCAGTATATAGCATGGTTAATTAGTTTTAAATTCTCAAAATAAACTTATTTTTTTTTAGGTAGGGTACATGATTACATCTAACGATTAGCCGATAATATTAATTTAAATTTTATGATTATTAAAATGTTTAATGACGTTTAAATTATTTTTAATTTGCACAAATGTAACATTACTAATGTAATAATATAAGTTTGAAATTTTCAGGAAAAACCAATCTTACCGACAAAATAGCTAAATCCAAATATTTTTTCTATTTTAATACACTTTATATACACTTAAATATACACATAATAATTCTAATCAGTATATCGATTTAATATAACTTAAATTAATTTCTAAGAACAATCGAATTGTCTTCAAGAAATTAATATTCCAAGACGAATAGGAAAAATATAGATTGCAAATTTACAGCGACCGCGACGATACAAGTACGCTAGCCAACTGGCGGCTTGCCCTATCACATCACACCACTCGGCAGTGTAAAGTTCACCATTGCAAGAGTAGAGCGTGTACAATTTTGAACTCTTGTGTATTGTTTAGTTGTGATTATAACGATGTTCACAAGTCACTATTATTTGTAAGGATAAAATGCATACCGTGATCGCGTCTTGTTTCTGTTCACTTTCCGCGTCCATGGTGTATCTTCGCGGGTAGCACAGACGTACGACTGCGCAGAAGCATGAATGTACGTCGTCTGCACGTACGCGTTGGTTTTCTCCCGCTGAAATACTGATAAAATACTAACTGGCTTTGCCTATCAGTAGGTAGTAATCGACGCATTATCTACTCAAAATTATCCTATAATATAGTTAATGCATAATCTTATCTTATGAATTTATTAATGCAATATAAATAGTTTTTACCATATTTTCCTTTTATAAAATTATTAGCACGGATAAAAACGTTCAAATCGAAATAGGGTACGAAACAATTTTACACATAGTGTTCATATAGTGTAATCGGAATCTTGTTTTGGGAACAAAATATTGAAAACCTAAAGTTTTATGATTTTAAAATGTTAGCAAGTATATGTATAAGGAATAGAAATTCGTAAAATGCCCGCCATGCCCAGCTAACTCCGAGAAATGGGCTAAATAACACTTTTTACAGTATCCTCAAAGTTTTCGAGATATTTCCAAACATCCTAGGTCTAGACCACAATATACCTGGAAATTTCAAAAAAAATATTTTAAGGTTTCGTTCTTATACGTGCTTTTTTATGTAGGTACCTATCTATCAGTGAAAATTATACACATACTACGGTCAAAGCTGATTTGCGTATTAATAAATAATAACTTTATTGCGTATACCACACGTACCTACTACTAGATAAATACAATGTCAATATATTAAAATTAGAGCTAATACTGGCACATATGTATATACATACATCTTCGTAGCAGATTCGTAATAAACAAACAATTGCACTGACTTAAAATATAATTTATAAACAACGTATTAATTTTTGGCAAACAATTGTCTTATATACAATGGTTCTTTATTTTTATTTTATGACACGTTTGGCAGAGTTTGTAGTGACCCTACTTTCTATGCCAACGGTCGTGGGTTCGAGTCCCGCTGAGATTTTCATTTCATTCATTTGTGTGATGAGTACGAATGTTTGTACTCCAGCCATGGATGTTTATTTTTATAATATGTATGTATTTAAAGTTAAAGTACCTGGGCCACCGAGCATCGCTCGGAGTTTTTGGTTAAAAAGTACAATTTTCTTTAAAAAAAAAACTAAAAACTTGAATAAATACAACAAAAAAACAAAAATAAATTATACCTTTGTATCCGACCGGGACTCGAACCCGCACACCTATGATTGTCAATCTTGCGTCTTTTTAAAAAAAAAAAAACGAAAAACTTGAATAAATATTAAATAAAAATAAAAGTAAAAACTTTGTATGCGACCGAGATTTGAACCTGGACACCTGTGGTTATTGATCTTGCACCTTGGCCGCTTGACCACGATGCTTCTTCCCGAGCTTGCAAACTACCGACCATATTTTCCGTCGAATAGCAAAAGAATTTTTATTATTTTTATCCAATAAAAAAAAAGTTTATGTTTTAGTTGATTATCGATAAAGTTGATTATTGAAAACACAATTAAAACGACATTTTCTAAAAATACCTAGTCCACCGAGCTTCACTCGGAGTTTTTGGTCATTAATACAATTTTCATAAAAAAAACGAAAAACTGGAATAAATACAAAAAAAAAAACAAAAATAAACTATACCTTTGTATCCGACCGAGATTCGAACCCGGACACTTATTCATTCTTGCGCCTTGGCCGCTTGAACATGATGCTTAAATATCCAAGCGTACGAAATTGTGGAACATAATATTTTGCGTGGAATAATGCAAAAGAAAACCGCATGAAAATTCGAAAACACGCATTTTCCCAGACATAAGACTAATCTAGATCGATTTATCGACCCCGAAACCCTCGTCTACTAAATTTCACGAAAATCGTTGGAGCCGTTTCCGAGATTCAGATTATATATTGATATATATATACACCCCTGCGGACGGCCCGAACCTCGCGGGCCAACCTCGCCTAAATCAGGATGCCCTCGATTCACAGAGCATCCCGACCGCCGCAATAACGTGCAGGGGAGTCAACGAGAGACTCCACCGCAGTAGCTCCTCTAGGGTGTCGGGAGAAGATGCGCATACCGGCGCCTCCTCTCCTCCCCCAGCCGACAGCGACGAAATGCTACGCTACGCTTGTACCTACAAGAATGTTTCAGTAATGTCAATATGGAACTATATCAAATATGAATTTTATGTACCTACATCATCTGAGTTCTATGTACCATGTTAATTTACTTCTCATCTTTCTTTCTCATTTTACTTTGCGTTGGCGTTTAAAAGTGCTCACTACTTTTATCGAAATCAATTATAAAACTTTGTCTTCATGAGGTAAGGAAAAAATTAAAATGTTCATAGTTATTAATTAGATAAAATAAGTTTGCTTGAGTCAATTATAAATAATCTGAAATTCCTAAAAATACTGATTCACTAATTGTCATATTTTTAAGAATAAAAATAAAAATTATGAATGATGGTAATTTTTACCTACTAGGTAGTACTGCGAGTTTTGGGGCGTTGAACTGGATTGTGGAGTTCGTGCCTTTACATCAATTTGATAAGCTCTGACACCAATTAAGTGAAAATTTTACCTATAAAATCAACCTTTATTAGTTTATACCTACCAGTATAACATTAAAATTAATATGTAACCAATACTATCAAAATACTTAATTTTAAATAAACACCTAATTTTTAATATATTTGTGGTAGTAAAACGCCACGTTTTAGCTTCAACTACATTAAGTAGGTATGTGTCGTTTATTCAGAAAAATATTTATCCTGTACGGCCGGCAAACTTGTGTAGAAGTATTTATTTTTAACACGCTTTAATTTATTTTTTATTTCTATTTTAAATAAAACTATCTTTTCGGATTATTTCGCGGATTTGATGGTGGTTTTTATTTCTATTTTCAACCTTTATGTTTAACTAGCATTGCCCGCGGCTCCGCTCGCGTTCAAATGACGAATAGCCAAATTCTTAGGTTTTACATATTAGTATACTCTTACATTACAGTTTTTGTATTTTTTCTCAGAAATGAGATATTTTCCCACGGTAAAAAGTATTCTATATGTTGACCCGAATAACCAGCTATCACCATACCAAATTTCATCAAAATCCCTCCAGTGGTTTTTCTGTGATGATAAAACAGTAACTTAGCTTAGCGAAATCTGTACACGAAATATTTTAAAAACAATGACCGTAACATATTGTGTACAGAATACAGACCTCAAAACGATAGTTGTTAGAAAAATGTCTGTCTGTGTGCGTTTCACGCAAACAGCACTGCACCATGTTAACTAACTTTTATTACAGGAAAATCTTTTGTTTCTACTCTTCGATAAACAAATTCATCGAAGTAGTATTGTTGATCGAAGTTTCTACGCGAAAATACTGTAACTGGTCGACTCGAACCAGACGAACAGACTAACCTTAAAAAACAGACCTTAGAAATTTACATGGCTAATGTTGGCTTAAACAATAAACATGAGGTTTAAACAAGGTTTAACTTAAAAAGGCCTACGGAAAAGTCTGCAGTATCAAGCGTGAGTCTATCTCCTAAGGTACACTCGCAATAACTATTTATAATATTTAAAACGTACTTTTAGGGACGCACCCAAGCGAAGCGAGGGAAAGTCGCTAGTTTTTAATTAAAATTTAATTTTAATTCAAATATGACACTGTATAATACCGACGTACTACATATTTTAAAGGTTGTAAATTAGTTATTCGTCAATTTGATATTAGTTTTAAATAGCAATACGACCAAATTTAATAAAATTTAAACACCTAGATAAGATGAAACGTATAGAGGCGGATATTCTGTATGAAATATTCTAGGACTCTAGATATTACAATATATTTTTTAAATTGTAATGTACTGGGAACACATGTATTATTATATAATAGGCAGGCGAACAGACCCAGCTCGATGTGCATTTATGGATAAAAACTAAGGCTCTGGCTCTGAAAATGCTTATATTATTATAATAAACTTATATTAATTTAAGTATGATATGATACGATCTGTAGCTCGCATAGTGTATTTTAGCTACTTCCATAGCATAATATCGTATGAAGATATACTCCTACATTGAAGCAGGTATAAACAAACCGTTGAATGTCACGGTACTGCGCAGGAGATATTATAGTGCACAAGTGCACTCACTATTCCTGTTACTTTCATACTGCGGCGCAGTGGGACGATTACTGGACGCGACCAGTGAAAGTTAAGGCTCAGAACCGACGGCTTTACAGTTTATGTGCTCTCCGAGGCACAGGGTGAAATACCGCCAACTTCCCAAATCTGGGTTGTTACTGACAATTTCTTGACTGGAATACTTAATACCTAAATTTGGCCCAGCCCGGGACTCAATCCCCGGACCTCCGGATCTGTGGCAGTACATGCTAGCTACTAGACTACCGAAAATCTACATATAGTAAAAATAAGCGAACATAAAGAATGACAAAAGCGGTCCCGTTATGTTTTAACTAGTCCCCGCAGTTTCGCCCGCGTAATTCAACTATGTATTAGGTATTACTTCAACTACTTAATGACAAAATAACAACTTTTCACTAAATGCATATGAAATTATTAAGAATTACACAATTTTAAAATTTTTGTCTGTCTGCTTAATGCATATGAAATTGTATACGGTACATAGGTATCAGAGAAACACATTTTTTTTAAATGTGTCTGTTCCGACTAATCTCCGAAATGGCTGGATTGATTTTGACGGGACTTTCACTGGCAGATAACTGATGTTATAAAGAACCACTTAGGCTAATTTTATTTTAGAAAAATAATTAGGGTCCCGCTAATATTAAGGGCATTAATAAGTATAGATTTAAGAATTGTCTATGATTAGATTTCTCTAACTGGTGTCTGCGTTCAATGTTAAAAACTAAAAGTAGCACTTCACAGTATAATCACTATAAGTAACTTACCAGTTGGAGTAACTTTATTATTTACTTTATCATTTATCAAACTGTGATCTATAATTTTATTTTTAAATTTCGAAGCTAATTCTGTGACAAGTAGGAAATCTATTCCATATAACCATGGGGTTGTCCAAGGTTCACTCTGCTATCAGAGAAGTACCAGGAGCAACCCGCATGGTACACCGCCCCCCGAAGAGGGCCATCCCCACCACCCACCGAAGTGCGCCACCTCCCTGTGCGTTTCTTGGCTTCGCGCCCGGTTGTATTGCCGGGCACTACTGAGCCCCCCACTACGACAAGGTGAACGCACGTTAGGAGGGGGGGGGGGTTGGCTTTGGGATCATGTAACTCTTAAATCGTCTATAGTTTAATATTTTTTTTATTTCTTGTACTTTTTATATTATGTACGTTGTCATGTGAATAGACCGTAAAAAATAAGAATATTCATAAAAACGCTTATTAAACAAATTTAATAGTCAAATTTTACTTTACATTCTCGGAAAATGTTTTCGCTTATTTTATATCTATATTTTTGTTGCAGAAAAGAATAATGATTACTAGAATATTATGTAGAACGGAACGTTGTATTAGTGATCGGCCATGTTTTTCTCACAACATACGTCGTGTGGCAAACGTCAACGATTAGTTTACTCACTGTTCTACAAAATTATCTTGTCGTCAAAACCAAATACAAATTGTTTTGTTTTTGCTTCTGCTAATTAAATGATAAAATGAATCGCACTGAAGGGTTGGTGCAACGTAAGAAAAAAGAAAATAATTCTGATGGAAGCAGGGAAAATGACGATGTGGACGATAAGAAAAACGATAAAAATTATGATGACGGCGATTCAAAGGAAACCCGATTAACACTCATGGAAGAAGTATTGCTGCTAGGACTCAAGGATAAAGAAGTAAGTTGCATGTGAAAGTAAATGATTAAATATCTAATATCATGCTCTACACTCAAAGACTCAACGAACATTTATCGGTATTATTTTTAGGGTTACACATCATTTTGGAATGACTGCATTTCTAGTGGTCTCAGAGGCTGCATTTTGATTGAACTGGGTTTAAGAGGTCGTGTTGAATTAGAAAGAGCTGGTATGAGAAGAAAAGGATTATTATCTAGAAAGGTTATTGTGAAATCAGGTAACTACCAGTGTACAAATACATTATATATTATAATGGCTTGCAAAAAAAAACAATAAATAATTATACTTAGACCTCCTTGATTATGATTTTAATACTTTTATCTATATTGCTATACTTATATTTAAAGGTGTTCCAGTTGTATTGTATTCTTTATTTTGTTTATTTATAGATAACCCTACTGGTGATGTTTTACTAGATGAAGCCTTGAAACACATGAAGGATACTGAGCCACCAGAGACTGTACAAAGTTGGATAGAATATCTCAGTGGTTAGTTTATTATTTCTGATTAATTTGTATAATATAATATATTGATTTATATATATAAAATAGTATCAAGAAATATTAATTATTTTTGTTTGTTATAAAGTAGTACGAAATGTATTATCTAATAAGAATAATTCCAGTAGTTATAATAAAATTGACATTCTATCAAATTTACTATTACTACTATTTAACAGGTGAAACATGGAATCCAATGAAATTAAAATATCAACTGAAAAATGTGCGTGAGAGACTGGCTAAAAATCTTGTAGAAAAAGGTGTACTTACAACTGAAAAACAAAACTTCTTATTATTTGATATGACAACTCATCCACTGACAGATAATGTTGTAAAATGCCGCTTAGTTAAAAAGGTATGTTTAAACTTTAATTAATTACTAATTACACTCTACTTGTATGTTTGTAATTTTATGTAGTACACAATCACTAATCAAGACCCTTGCTTTTTGCTCATGAACTAAGGAGCTAAATATGTTATAGAAGACATTATACAGAAGACAAAACATTGTGTGTATGTCTCAATATAGTCTTCACTTTCAGTTGAAACAATCTTTATGTGATTTCTAGAGACCTAAGGGGAATAAGTAATAGGTTCTATGATATTTCACAAGGAATAATCTCCTTTTTTGAAATTGGTTAAAAAAAGGATTGCAGCCACAGTTATATATAAATCCTACCTTTGATGCGAAAGTAACTGTCTGTCTGTCACCTTTTATGTTTATTCCGCTGAACCAATTTAGAAGAAATTTGCTATGGAGATAGTTTACAGACCCTGGGAAGGACATAGGATAGTTTTTATCCCAGAAACCATCCCTTAAGGGGGTGGAAATTAGTATGCGGAATTGATCATTTCTCAAGTAAGGGATAAAATTTTGTTTCAATTTTTAAAGTACTTACTTACTTTTCTATACCTATGTATGTGTATGTAGTCTACCTATTCCCTACTAACTATAGAATTTGATACAATATTACTAACCGTTAAGACATTCCTAGGGAAGAACCCGAACGAAGGAAGGGCGAGTCCCTAATCTATACATAAATAATAAAATTCTGAGTCAAATCTGTACATTAAATGTTTTTTAGAAAATCTTATTCAAATAGTTATTATCTATAAAGAGGCCGAATCTATAGAATTTTTGTCCGTCTGTCTGTCTGTAAGGGAATGCATCACAGGAAAACCACTAGACAGATTTTGATAAAATTTGGTATGATGAAATCTGGATCAACATATAGGATACTTTTTTACTGCAGGAACATAAGTATCTCATCTCTGAGAAATCTATACTAAACGTTAAAACGTAAGTAAGGACAAAGCGGGGGTGAATGGCTAGTGAATTGTATAAATCTTTTTGTGTTGCTACTGTTTTATTTAGAGAAAGTTTTTATTATTTGTAGATGTTGAATTGACTATTATATTATTGACATATCAACTGGCATTGAAATACAATCTAATGTAAATAGAATCTTGTTGCCTTGAAACTTCTTCTATGACCAAGTTCTCTGTTTATTTATATCACTAGCGTCTCACCCTGTCTTCGCTCAGGTTTGTTTCTAGGTTAATTCCCCATACAAAATTTCATCCCCATCTTGAGCCCATTGAGGGATGATTTCCAGGTTAAAAAATATCCTATGTCCTTCCCAGGGTCTCAAACTATCTTTTTACCAAATTTCATCTAATTCGGTTCAGTCGATTCAGACATAACCCCTCTGCAACCTCACAAACTCACAAACTTTACCTCTTTATAATATTAGTATAGATTTATATTTATAATAAACAATACTATATTTTTTGTATTTGCATCGGAATTTAATATTTGAGTAGAATAGGTATGTGTGTTCTAAACAGCCAGATGGACTTTAGGGATTTTTTAAACTATCTGAATAAAAATCAGCTTGCTTTAATTTCAATTTCTTAAGTGCATTTAAATATAAAAAATACAGCTTGACATCCGCTCTACTTATGCAAACTGGTGTTCATATTATCTTACTACAAACTAAAAAAAAATGCTTGAGGAATGTAGCTTCAGATGGTAGATATTTATAAAATAATAGAAAAATCATGTTAACTTTGTTCAATGTTTTATAGATATCATGTCAGATATTATCATTCACTATTGTATGTGTTATTCAGTCATTTAGATAATTTTCACTAACATTAAAATAATATTAATATTTAATGTTATCTATGCTATTTGAACATTGAATGTTTTCTGTACTCCATTTACAGGAGTTAGTCTTGATAAGAATTTCATAATCTCCTATATTGTAATTTTCGTAATTTTCAAATATTTTTATATATAATATGCATATGTGCTATAAATTTAAATTGATCATATACTACTTTTTAAATAACATCAGTCATTAGCACAAGCATTCTTCTTTAAAAGGCATCAAAGGTGTTAAAGTGGATTTGAATAGTTATCACATGGTAATTTTGTTTTTTGCATTTTCAAATCCAGTTATTTTTTATTTTACTGTTTCTAAGGCTAAAAGAGAAAGTGGTGGTACAGGCCAAGGTGCATATAAAATATCTAGTGTGTTGATATACATATTATACATAGTATGTATAAAGTATATCCTTGGGTCTGTAGGATTGTGGGACAAATGCATGGACTATTGAATTTGATAAAATCTGTCCAAATATATGAAAATTGTGATAATGTTTTCAAATTCACTAGAGAATACCATAGCCATATATATTTTTTTTAATTTTATTATTTACTAGCGACTCCTCCAAGCTTCGCTCGGGTTCATCCCTAGGTTTGTTTTTAATGCTTAGTATGGAATAGATAAACTATATGTACATAGGTATGATAATTTTTATGTCCCTTAATTGAGAAATTATTTATTCCCCGTACAAACTTCCACCTTCACCCCCTTATTCCTGATTTCCGGGATAAAAACTACCTTGTCCTTCCTAGGGTCTTAAACTATCTCCATACCGAAAAGGTAATAGACAGACTGAGTTACTTTCGCATTTATAATATTAGTATGGATTTACTTTCATTTTGATACATTTTGTAATTGTGATAATCTTGTAATAATGACATGTCATTGTGGAATTGTGCTGCTGCCAAAGTAGTCAGTGAGGTACTTTAATTAATGTAATTGCTTATAATAAGTCTAATTGAATAAAGTTTATTTAATTTCAATGAAAATATGCTTTCACATGTCAAACATGTTTTTTATACATATCTTTCGAATCATGTAATTTTCAGTGTGCTCCGTCAATGTCTTTTTCTTTTTCTCATACTTGAGAGTTGGTTAAAGAGATTCTTAAAGATATGTCATTCTTGGTACACATGATGTCAGATTTTGGCGATATCAGAAGGTGGACCACCCTTAGGGGCATGAAAAATAGTTTACGTCCTATTCTCGGACCTACTGAATATACACACAAAATTTCATACGAATCGGTCAAGCCGTTTCGGAGAAGTTTTGTTACAAACACCGTGACACGAGAATTTTATATATTAGATATATGAGGTTTATGAATAAATAAACATACTAATGTGATAATGCGCGCTTATCGTAACACTTACGAATGAACACATTTCGAAAGGTAGATTAGTATCGACATGTTCTAAATAAAATCATAGTTTCGTTTCAGTCCGTTGATTATAATTTATAAAGGTACAAAGCTGCTTATATATAATTAGGGCAGTTGTAGCCCAATGGTAACACGCTAGGAAAACAAAGTGAAGCGGATTCAAACGCAACCGGCTCTCACCTTTAATATTTTCATGTGCGAATTGTTTTCAGCATGATTACCATTTGCCTTACTTGCAAGGAAAATATCACGAAGATATCTGCATGTTTGAAAGAACTTAACTTTAAGTTTTCAAAAGACATGTAAAGTCTTGCATTTTGACCAGCGTGGTGGACAATGGCCTAATCCCCTTCGTATTGAGGAGAGGCTCGCTGGGGCTGGACCCCAGTGCGCGTTAAAATAGGCTGAATACGAATATATGTATATTTAATACTAGTGGCTTTAAGACGCACCTACGCTTTGCTCAGGTGCGTCCTTAGGGGTGAATGGTTTAGGAACACATAGAGGACAAATATACAAAGAAAACAATATTTTTATTTATAGACTAAAGCTACTCATTGTCTTTGTTTTTATGCGTAGGGAAAGATAAGTTAATTTACTATGACCCAAAACAAACAAAGAAACAAATAGACAAACAAAAACTAATATGACATATATTTTTTCAGGTTCAAGAAGCTGCACTTCGTCGTTCTATAGTTGACGTGGCACACGCTGACAAGCGATCACTGGCTCTGCTTATGCTCGCTCACTCTGCCGATGTGCTAGAAAATGCTTTCGCACCGCTCTCCGACGAAGACTACGAGTTGGCCACTAGGCGTGTCAGGTCCTTATTGGATCTAGACTTCGAAGCTGAAGCAATGAGACCCGATGCCTGTGAAATTATGTGGGCAGTGTTCGCTGCTTTCACTAAATAGCATCAGATCACCGTCTGAGCCACTCGCGACGGATACACAGGTAACTTAGGTGGCTAGTAATGAATGTAAACGATTTACAATATAGTATAATTGTTAGACTTGTACAGATTGACTTTTTTGTGATCAGTATTAAGTTTACGCCGAATTGGAATTATTAAAATCGATTCTTATTCAAATATACTGTATATGAAACGAATTTGAACAGCTCGTTAGTGACCTGAGATACAGATTTTTCCAGTTATAGTCGAATTTAAAATGGCACAAATAGAATGTGAAATTTTTCACCCGTATTAATACTAAATGCAGGTGCAACTAGATAGCAATAACGAGATTGAGATTCAATTTAAATCAGTTGTTATATATGAGGTATGAATCATATTTATAAGTGTATAGTTGTATTTTTTTTGGAAATGTGTATATAATATATATATCAATCTTGTAAGTGATCAAAATAATGATGTGTGAAATTGGTATAAAAAGTATATTTTAGCATTTTATGTTGTATGTATTGATGCTTTTTTATAAAGTTGTAATGTTCTTGAATGAGATAAATTATTTGTTTACTTATTGATGAATACTTTACTTTAATGTACTGCTCTGAACTACACTTACCTATATATATTTTTAACTGTATATTCTTTATCAATCGAAAATTTCTCAAGCAAATCCAATTGATTTGTTTTATATGTATTATTAAAATTATAAAGCTAATTTGTATATCAGAGAAAACACCATAATCTTTCAGTAATAAGGTTGATTTTAATTCACCAACCGCCAACTAACGTGTAATTGAAATAAGTTATAGTAATACCACTATAACGCCACTTATTAAATATGTACATCTAGCTATAATAGTACTTAATAAATAAAACATGTCAGCTATGAGCCCGCTTGGTAAAATTTAAAACTTAATTTTTATTAAGGGCACGTATAATATTACGAAGGGATTATTCGCCCGAATTACGGGTCTACGGGAAGCTTTCTCGTAGGTAGGTAAATGAAAAAAATTGAGAAAAGTACAGAAAGTTTTCCCATGGGTCTGAAAGCTTGAACGAAATTTAATCGATCCACGGGTCAGCTACAGGAGAGCTTCCCGTAGCCCCGTACATCGGCTGTATAGTCGCTTCCATAATATTACTGTGATTATTATAATGTTACTATATAGTAAAACTTATTCTTTATTTTAACAGTCGTTTTGATAATTTGTTTTGTTTGAATGGTTGATTATAATACAGTACTGTATAATAATTTACTTACCAGTTAATTTCTTTCTTTTCAAAGCAACAAATACAGAAAATTAGTTGAATGTTGTGGGTTTATTTAGATTTTTTTAAACTATTCATTTGTTTTCCACTTCAAAGTTCTGTAGACGGGAAGAAACGTGTCGTGCTATTTAATTTTATTTTAAATCAAACGCATTTGCAACGTTACTTGTTCAAATACAATGTTACCTATAAATTTATTTCGTAAGAGGACATTAGTTTTCAGTTAATTTTTATTAGTTCTTCCAGCTGTTATTTATAGCTTTTATTTATTTAATGTTATAAATATTTTTTTTTTATATGTCAAATAGGCAGAACTAAAAATCGTGCCATTAACAAAGTCGTTTTTCATTTTCTTAAATTCTGTTTATTCATACAAAAAACAATCTGATTTACAAAAAAGTTTTTAAAACTTTATTTTTATTTTAGGCTTGTAGATAGGGTTTTAGAAATCTAGACCGTTATGTTTAATTCATTAGGATTAGCAGTAAAATAAATACTAGTATAAGGTCCAGTCTGTCCTTGCCAAATAACACTTACTGATGTAAGTTAAATCAGATATTTTTATTCATTTCTATCTATCTATATACCTATAATTGACGTAAAGCTAAGAAATATTTCAGCATTTTTATTCCTTACTAGCATTGCCCGCGGCTCCGCCCGCGTTCAGATGACCAAAAAACAAATTCTTAGGTTTTACATATTTGTATACTCTTAAATTGCAGTTTTTGTATTTTTTCTCATAAATGACATATTTTCCCGCGGTAAAAAGTATCCTATATGTTGACCCGGATAACCAGCTATCACCATACCAAATTTCATCAAAATCCCTCCAGTGGTTTTTCTGTGATGCGGTAACAGACAGACAGACAAAAATTCTAAAAACTATAGATTCGGCCTCTGTATCGATAATAATGTTTATTTCAATAAGATTTTCCAAAAAATATCTAATGTACAGATTCGGCTTAGTTACAATTTTATTAAATGTAAAGATTAATATCCCTTTAATAATTACGTAAAAACCAATGCAATACTGTTCTATACACAAAGCATAATGAGAGCTATCGCGTTTAAATTGACCGCGAAAGGCGCAAGTGTAGAGTGAGGTCTCTACTAATGTCAAATGTCATTGAATTTTTACTGTTTGCGAGCTTTTTATCGCGGGTTTTACTAATTATTCACAATTGTTGCAAAGATTTTGCCTGATTAATTAAAAAAAAGAAAGAATATTGTTCGGCTGCTTTTTTCGACGAATATCGATCCTTCGTCCGGGTTTGGCATAAAGAACTACTCTGCAAAGTTTAAAAGTACCTTCCACGCTCCTACTACCTGCTGATGGAGTCTTATCTCAGTGACAGAAAGTTTCAAGTCAAGCTCCGTGACGCAAGATCTTTCATCTCTTTTCAGCTGCGGAGCCTGAGTAACCCAGGGCTCCGTACTTTGCCCGGTCCTATAGAACATATTTACTAGTCACCAGAACTAGACACACTGGACAGATTTGATCCGGGTCAACATACGGGATACTTTTTATTGCGGGTAAATATTTAATCTCTTGAGAAAAATACTAACCGTTAAAACGTACCTGTGGACGAACCCGAGCGGAGCGATGGTGAGTTACTAGTTTAAAATTAAATCCTGATAAACTGGTTCCGCGTTATCAATTATTGTAATTATTATATAACATTTATTGAACTTTCGCACTACAAATATTTTTCCGAAGATTCGTTGATATATATTACTCCATTGGCGCCAACGAGTGCCACCAGAAACGATACCCCTAATTGGTTTCAATAAATTAATAGGTTTTAATTAGAGATGACTCTGCACAATGCATAATAATTATTCAATAATAAATAAATCATTCGAATTTGTTAATCTGTGCTCAAACGATTGAATTTGTTTAACAAAAAAAAACCTATCTATTTACTTTTAGTTTATGCAACAGTGCGTGGGTTTTGGCAAGCGCAAATAAAATTGATGTCTCAACTTTGTGCATAAGGTAATGAAATTTAATACAGTTAGGCTACTATTTTTAAAAACTTAAATATTGCCAGTACGTGATTTATTGTAAGTTTTTCACGATTTAACTTTTCGTATTTTAAGACGGATGTTTTCTATCTGTTTAACTATAATTGGTCAAAGGCTTTTTAAATTATAAAATTTATTAAAATTTAAGACGACGCGATGTTTAAGATAATATATAAATGATAATATTATTGTTAAATTATAGTTAAAATATTAGTAATCGAGTACCTAAAGATGTTAAAAAAAATTGTAAGAGCAATAAAAAACATTTTTTGAACGTAACGGATATTCCTGTGTGCGAAAATAAAATTCATATTAAAATTGTGCAAATAATGTGTTGCTATAATAAATAAATGTATAAAGTTAATTGTTAAGAAATGTATCATATGGAAAATTACTCAAATATAATATTCCTTAGTAAAACAGTTTCTTTTTTATTTAATTATTTTGTATATTCTGGCAATAAATAGTATATTGTACAATGTACTATATTTACTAAGAAATATGTCATACTCACTGCTTCATATCGCCATTTCATTATTGCCCATTATAAGTAGAATAATTAGGTTTTTTTGCGATATAATTGTTGACCTTTCTTATGGTATCATGTATTAATAATAATCTTCATCAATAATATTAATTTAAAGCGTAATTATTCTACAATAGTGGCTGAAAGTTTTCCATGAGGTATTCATTGAAGCAAAAATCATTAAAATCTTCACAATTAGTTAACGTTTAACATTATTTGAAATTGGTCAAAAAATAACTAACATTGAATGAAAATAGAATATTATTATCAAACTGGGCTAGATCGTAACTCGTGAGATGTTTTTGGTTGTCTTCATCTTCATCAAAGTGCTTTAAAACTTTAACGCAACGTTTTTGCAAGGAGAATTTTATGTTATCTATTTTGCAGTCGGTAACTATACTAGATACGTTACAGCGCATCAACTTCCAATCGCCATAGAAATACACAGTATTTGAGTATAGAGATTACTTCGGCACTATCCATAGGTGTATGCATATTATGCAGATGAAGCCGCGTGCAGTTAAAAATAAAAACAACTAATACATTAATAACTTTTATTTAAAAAATCGTAAGTCTTAAACCTCTTTATTTAATTACAATATTATATACCTAACTTTATAATGGTGCCTATAAATTATACATATCATAAGCCAATTACTGGGCCAGCAACAAGAGTAAGTTCGTAATACATATTTTGAAAGTCGATTAATAAAACAGTAGGTACAGGTTTTTAAAACTATTCTAACAGATAAGTTATACAATTGTTTAACATTCTCGAAACGAATTTTTCGTAGATATCATTATAAACAAATTCTGTGCTATTTGGGATACCCTAGTGAGATCTATATATATTCTTCTATTTCTAAGTCTATTGAATTCTCCAGTATGGTGGCACCTGATGGACCGTTATATTTACCAATGTGATGTACTTACTACAGATTCTTGGGACTTAGCCAAAATGTTATCATTTCTATAATCGTTGAAGAATAGAAATCTGAAAAATGTATGGAATTTACATATTATGATTCTACGACTTAACGGATTAGTGTCAATTCAATACAATTATAATTTTTTCTATGCTTCAGCAATTGTAGAATGACATCTTGTATAAGCCCATTTACATTCGAAATATGAGTTATACGCTGAAAAATGAACATACATGCAGATTGCAGCCACACTTTTCATAGAACAAAATCTCACGATTTATCAATTTTACTTAGTCCTTTAATTAAAAATTCATCGTCTACATATTATTTTACTCTAATATGAGCATATTTATCAACGTTTATGCTATAATTGATTTTCATTTTATATGTGACGTGCGTTTTGTTCTAATCAGATTGAAGTATACTTACATACTTGGGCCATATCGTTCATACAATCGCAAGTTAATATTTCTCACAGCCCCGACAATCTTAAATTATCTTAGACTAACAATACTTACATTTAAGCGTATTCTTTATAGTGTAAATATGGCCATAAAATAAATTATTTGGTGTAGTTTTTTAATATGTATTAAATATTCAAATTTTACGACCATATTTTTAACAAACATACATACACATTATAATATATCCTACTAATTGCAAGGTGGGAAACTGAAGGAAAATAAAATATAAAAATAAATATTGTTATTCATATTTATGCATACTGTATAATAAAGTACATTAAAAAGGTAAATAAATTCGGATGCAGTAGATAAATGCAAAGGAATAAAATGCCCATACGAGTATAATTTAAATGTAAAATAAGACTTCAATTCTTAATTTTATTTTATAAAAATTGTGTATTGAACCTTTCTTGTGTAATTGGTATAATTACGTACCTACGTCCCGACCAGCGACTATTAATATAGGTACCGACAATTTCTTATTTGCTTTAAAGGAAATGAAGATATGACTCAAAATGCAAGTTTTTTTTAAGAGTAAAAAATTAAGAGTTCAAACTGACAAAAATCCAATAGGTCTCACTACGACATCGGCATTGCTGCTATTTTTACGGCATTTCACGTGAAATCTTTCATAACAATGTGAAAAAAGAACTTAAATAGTATTGGCGTAACTATTTTAAAATTATGTCAATACTCAATGCATTTTAGTATATTTTATTCAGAATTTAATACAAAATAAAACTAAATTATTTGCACTAGCCTTTTAAAGTAAAATGAACATAAAATTGGAAATTGTTGATAGGATGATTTATCCAATTTTAACGAAATAATTTTTATTCAAATTCAAAAAGTAAAGCGTGATCAGTGAGTGATATATTATATTTACCATGAATAACTTGCGCAAAATCTATTTAAAAAGTTATTAAGACCAGTCTAAAATACATTTAATTCATTTATTTTTCACTTCTTATTATTTAAATCTTATCTATTGTAATAGTCTATTCTATGTTAAATAAAAACTTTAATGTATAATTTAAGGCGGCAACTATTCGCCCGTTGTACAGGTACGGGAAGCTTTCCCGTTGCCCACCTGTGGATCGATTAAAAGCTCAAGCTTTCAGATCACAGGAAAATTTCCCGTACTTCTCAAAATGACTTTGAATGTATTTACTTAGTAAAATTATAATATACCTAAAATTGTCCCGTGATATTATTGTAAGAAAAGGAGAGAATTGATAAAGCTCCGAGTAATTATAATTTTACGGTTTTACAATTTACCTGAGACATATCTAACAAATATCACAAAATTTGTTTTTCAGAACTTTTTATACGTAAATATAAAAATTCTGAGAAATAGGTTTTCCCGTGGATCTGAAAGCTTGAACTAAATTTAATTGATCCACGGGTCAGCTACGGGAAAGCTTCCCGTAGACCGGGCGAAGTCACTTCGATAATTTAAATGTTTTACTTATATTTTTATATATGTTATACTGCAATTTTTCCTAATTTGATTACTTGCTTCCAATAGATATTGTAAAGTAAATATGTAAAGGTGCAAATGTAGTAACCGGTTTCTATCTAAATTGTTTTTACTAGGTATATAAAAGAGATCTATCATCCTCAGACATAAATATTAATAGTATATTATTGTATATGAAATTTTCGAGTTAGATAGTCTATATATTTAGGTAATAATCACAGGATTTAGAGCACACGATGTATTTATCAAATGTTTTATTCATGTCGCCGGGTCAACTTCTCTTACTTTAGTAAATTATGAGTTTTAAAGATACTTCGAATATCGATCGTAAAAGTATACCGAAAAACGAAGTACACATTGGTATTTGTATGTAAATATGATATTTATTACAGAGTTGTTTTGGTAATAAATCAAAGCTCATTTTTATGTACTATTACAAATTACATACCTGACAACTACGAATAAATAATTAAGAATTTATTCGTAGCCTGGCAATAATCCACATTAAAAAATCCGAAATCATAATTTTATAAGAAAAGAAAGTTTATGGATCTCAAAAATGTAAGATATGATGGTCATTTCTATAGCATTGAAACTTAATCTTTACCTTTATATTGTACCTATTACTAGTTATTTTATAAAATAAATGCTTAATCAACCAGTGATGTGAGTTTAGCTGTAAATTAATCACACGATCTGTCACTGTTTATTTCACAAAAATTGGAAATATATTTCTTTAGCTGATATTTCTATGTCGTGGAATACAAAAATTAAAGTGTTGAAGAAATAAGACAACATGAATAAATTCGCAACTCTTTTCTGCTATCAATATTTAGTTGTAAAAATTGTATTTAGGATGAAGATTAAATTCGATATTGATTTTTTTAATAAATATTTTACGACGCAAGTTTGATTGATATTATACCCTTTTATATGGTAGTATGTGAGGATAACGGACAGTCGGCCCGCTGTCACCAAGCCTCCGTGTAGCGGATATCATACTCCTGCAGATGTGGCAATCTTTTACGTAATATTTCGAAGGCCTCTGCCGATAGTTTTGTGCTGTTCAAATTAAGACGTCGTAGACTTGACAAACCTGAAAAAATGTATATTATCTATACTAATATATCTTTATATATATAACTAGCGGACCCGACAGACGTTGTCCTGTCTACACGTCTTTAATTTGAAAATTTCAAACTTTTTTTAATATATTATTTTCTATTAAAAAAATTGTGAATCTAAACCATTCCCAGATCCCCTTGAACACACACAAAAAATTTCATCAAAATCGGTCCAGTCGTTTGAGAGAAGTTCAGTGACATACACACTCACAGAAGAATTATATATATAAAGATTCTTCTGTGAGTGTGTATGTCACTGAACTTCTCTCAAACGACTGGACCGATTTTGATGAAATTTTTTGTGTGTGTTCAAGGGGATCTGGGAATGGTTTAGATTCACAATTTGAATAATAATGTTCATCAAAAAAATTATTAAAAAAAGTTTGAAATTTTCAAATTAAAGACGTGTAGACAGGACAACGTCTGTCGGGTCCGCTAGTTATTACGTAAAGAATTAAGATGGGGTTTTAGTTGCTTTTAACCGATAAACGTTGAAACAACTTATTAAATTTTTATACTTCGTTTATCAATGGAAAACTACATTATCAAAAGTAACATAAGCTATTTCAATAGGTAATAATAAGTTTTCAGCTTGAAATATTACTTGGATCATTATTTTATTATGTTGATCAAATGTGATTATAGTAGGTAAGTTCTATGGAAAAAATATTAGAAGATTAATAGGTGTAAATATTAAATAAGGTTTTTTAAATATTAAGGACTATCTTTGTGGAAGTGTCTCAGACCAATAGCTGCTTTTATCTCAATACAATCTACAAAAAGTCTGAATATAGATAACATCAAGGCTTAAATAATTTATTATTACTGAGATGATAAATATTTACCGGACAATGCTTCTATTCCCTTATCAGAGACAGGAGTTTCACAGAGATTGAGTACTTGCAGACGAGGAAGATGTTCTGCGATCAGTTGAACACCACTATCACCAAACTTTGTAGCCCATAAATTCAAATAGCGCAGTGAAGGTAACTGAAATTAAATATATAGTTATACATAATTCGGCGTAGTTAGATACTACTCGTAGTAGTTTGCGAGAAATATAATTATCTTGAAAGTTTAGTTTTATCCACGTTGCTATTTCTTCGTGTAAAATAAAATAAAACAAATGTTATAAGAAAGCGTTTTTTTGCCTAGAAAATAGAACTTCTTCCTTTTTTGATGTTAGTTAAAAATAACAAACATTTAGTATTATAAAATAATTTTAGTCATTAAAATTCGCGAGGTTAACATGTTTACATAAAAGAGCCTGCCACTTCATCTAATGTGTTTCAATTCGTATCTTATCTAGACGCGAAGACGAAAGACGTCATTCGACTTAGTGATGGTTGCTTATATGGATGGTGTAATTTCTGATATGGCCATTACATAGGTATTTTTTCTTTTGTCTTGTTGTTACCGAATTAGAAATAAATGTTTCAAACGAATACTTAATATGTTATTTTTATATTTTTTATTACGCAGAAAATTCCTGTGTCTCGCTATTTTAAAATATGGCTAGCAGTTGAGCTCACATAGTTTTTACATGATACAGAGGCACAAATGAAATTAAATAAATTTTGTTAGTCTGTCTGTACACGTCATTTATTTTTTAATAAATTAAACTTTTGCCGAATTAGACCATCAGCATCTCAACATGTTAAACAGCTGTTTGATATGTTTAAGAGATTGATTATGTTATTATTTCACTTCTTCACGCTAAAATGATTCAATGGATTTGAGTGAAATTCAGAATGGAAGCATCTTGAACATATCCTCGATTAACACTTGAGTACTTTTTATACGTATCATGCGAGCAACAAGAAAAAACTGCCTTAAGAACTCACTTTAATGAGATGATGTGCACACGCACTAGTAACACTAGTGAAGGCGAGGCTCAAGCACTCGAGGTTGCCGAGCGCGCCCGCTTCCAGCAGAGCTTCCACGTCCGCGTCCGTCGCGCGCACCGGCAGCGCCAGCCGACGCGGACCGCCTTGCGATTGCTGTAGCAATACATACACTCGTTATTGATATGCGTCACTAATTTCTATGAAAATGAATAGTTGATAGTAAAATCAAAATAAAACCGTTAAAGTGTGAGTTGGACTCGCCCATAAATGTTTCCGTATTATCGTATAAAATATAACACTATAATATGTACAAATGGTTTTTTTAATTTGCATGGAGGCCAGTTTCAAGTTCGCGATCTTGGATTTTTATTATTTGTTGTTATAGCGGTAATATAACTCACAGAAATCTTAATAATTATTATTAAGATTTCTGTGATATAACTGTACTTATTACGATTCGTGAGAAACAGCTCACTGACAGACAGATGGACGGACAGCGTAGGCTTAGTAGAAGGGACCCGTTGGCACCCTTTGGGTACCCTATAAAGTATTTTGAAGGTAAGCGGTTTCCCAATGGTGGTCCGCGGAACCCTTGGGTTCCGTGGAAGCGTCACAGGGGTTCCGAGTTCCGTCCGAGAGTTAAATAAAACGTTGTCAGACATGAAGCCTAATTTCATTCATCACTTGGTAATCCGTTAAAAACTTATGATCAATTAGGGGCATCCATTAATTGCGTGAGACAATTTTGGAGATTTTTCGACCAGATGAACAAAAACCAAATTCTTAGGTTTTACATATTAGTATAATCTTACATTGCAATTTTTGTATTTTTTCTCAGAAATTAGATATATGGTGATAACCAGCTATCACCATATCAAATTTCATCAAAATCCCTCCAGTGGTTTTTCTGTGATGCGGTAACAGACAGACAGACACAAAAATTCTAAAAACTATAGATTCGGCCCAGAGGCCGATCAATGTATATATATATATATATATATATATATATATATATATATATATATATATATAAAATATTTAATGTACAGATTCGGCTTAGTTACAATTTTATTATACGAGTATGTATAGATTTGGAGGCTAGCGTAGCATTCAATTTAGTCATTCCGTAACTATTGAACGCTCTGTCCATTTACATAATAAAGGTTAGTGTTATGCGTACTGGCGAGTTTTAATAAAATCTACGCATAAATATAAAAAAAAATGTTTACATGAAGTAAAGCTATCATAATGATAACGAATAGAAGAAACTAGTTTAATGATGCAATAAATATGTTGGGATATTAGCACCATCTAGTTCCATGGTAAGGTACAAGGCTTGTCTTATGGATACCAGATACACTACACATTTATACAACTTTAAATACATATATATTATAAATATAAATACCCATAACTGGAGTACAAACATTCGTGCTCATCACACAATTGAATGCCCCCAGCGGGACACGAAACCGCGCCCGCTGGCACAGCAAGTAGGGTCACTACAAACTGAGCCAGACATATCGTCAACTATGTTAAAACCTTAATTACGAAACTTATTTGTACAGTAATTATTACTTGTATCTTTTATTATTTATGTTTAGGAACACCAAGAAGTTATAGATACTTAATTGTATCGTATTATGATTTTTGCTAAGGACTAGGTAGGTAGGTATCTATTAAATATTAAAGTTGTAAAAGTGTTACCTATTAAAAGGAACACTACATGTCTGTCTTGTCATTAATAGGTATCATAAATTATCATCATTGCCGTATTCTTGCTACATAAAGCAAGTAATTGACGTATATCATAAAATATTAATAAATTGGCTTACTTTTAAAAACGATAAAGTAGTTTGAACGTTTTAGAATTCTAGAATTATTCTACAAATAGTAATACTTGGAAAGTAATTACTTGGAAACCTCAGGTTCAAATGTTGCGCTCAAACGTTTTCCGTCAGTCGGGGCTTTTCAATCACGTAATCTAACTGTGCAAAGTTCAGTTATGATTGCACGTCACGTTAGATATTGGCCATGCTCATTATTTTTAATATATTAACCCTTTACTTCTTCATAATATGTTTATTTCATATTCGAATTGTAAGTATTTAGGAAGATAATAATATCATTTATATATACCTACTTATCATTACGTATGGTATCATCATCTATCAGAACGGTTACACATAATCTTCGGAATTAGTAAAAAAGTATTCTGTAAAAGTAATAATTCTTATTTTACATGGGTACTAAGACAACTTACCAATCTCTGGAGAGTCTGCTGTCGTTCACATAAATCTTTATAATACTGTTGCCCTAATTCGGTTCCTTGCAATGCTGCTATGATTTCTAATTGTGTCTGTTCGCCACTCGCTATTTCCCATTCTAACATTAGACATAATGCTTCTAAAGCTGCTGGCTAAAAATTAAAACAATATGTTTTAAAACTATATATATACTGAATAATATTATTTATTTATAGTTAAATTAATTTATGTAACAGCACTTTCATAATATTTGTGACGGTACTTACGTGTTCAGTGAGAGCGACTATTACGAAATCAGGCAGATGTTTGGTCATGCTCTGTAGAAAACTTTTCCTTTTACAGCAACAACTTAAGAGAGATTTCAACTAAAATACAAAAAAGTTATACTGTAGCTGTTTTAATTATTACGTGCAAATTTTAATTCAATAGTAATAATACTAAATAATAAAAAATTAACCATATCTCCCCAGAGCTGGCATAGCCTTTTGTGTGGCAGTGACAGAATAGGGTCGGAAGGGGCAGCCGTCTTCAACCACGAAGGCGGCGAAGGTCGAGCAGCTCTGGCCGGTGCGACGCAGGCGTGGGCCGAACATCGCGGGTCGTGGGCTAACGTCTCTAATACTGTGCCAAGTCGTTCCGCTACCCGCGGGCAGCTCATGGCGCCTGTGCATAGCGGCACTGGCTGAAGAACACCGCCTACCACGATCAACCAGTCGTCGTATTCACACCTAAATTGAACATGTATTATTTTTTTGTAGGCATATTTATATATATGTATCTTTTTAATTAGAGTTAACGAGAATTTACTAAGAAAAATGGTTTAGAATTAGCTGAATGGTATCTGGTTATATCAAAATGGCAGCTGTAGCCCGCCTCATTTGGAAAACCAAGAGAAGCGGGTTCAAATTTCAGGTATCCCTTCTGTGATATTCTCATAAGTGAATGATTTTTGACATGATTACTACTCGCCTTATGGTAAAGCATAACATCGTAAGGGAACCTGCATGTCTCAGAGCAAGAAAACCTAACAAGTTTTCGAAAGACCTGTCAACGCACGCACTTATGTCGCTAGTGCAATAGATGGATAATAGAAACAAATAGCAAAAAAAATTTGCATGATGCATGATACGAAAGGGTAATTATGATCTGAGCTAAGCTAGATATTAAACCTATTAAATTATTTAACGACTTACATATGTTGTAAAATGTCTGCAAAGCATAGCACTTCCAGCTCGGTATCGTCACATTTGTGCGGCAAGGTGGTGTCACGGTAGTGGTCGTCGATGGCGGCGAGAGCGACGGACGCGAGGTTGGGCGCGGCGCGCGGGTGCGGACACGACGCACCACTCCCGTGCGTCACTTCAACAAACCGACGCACCAAGCTTTGTCCAGAGTTGTGAGCGCTAAGGGCACTACAAATAATAAATCCTGCTATTTAAACTTTCTCTTTTTGTTTTACGAGTAAACCTTAGTAAATATAATCAAAGATTTTCCGAGACTTCCTATAGAAGAAGTCTATAGTAAAAAGTCTGTGCTAAAAGTCTTAAATCTAATTAACTTAACAAAGACACTTTCTTCATAAATAGTGCGACTCTGACTCGCGCAATAAGGGTTCCGTACAACTAAATATTAAGTTTATGTTTTTTATTGTAATTCTTTACACCGTTCAGTTTCTTACATATGCGGGAGTACCATACCCATTTTATTCTTGATTAATAATTATTGATTTATTTACATCATTTTTACCTTAAATCCGTATTTAATATTATAAATGTGAATGTTTGTGAGTATGCATGGATGTTTGTTACTCTTTCACGCCAGAACGTCTGAACGGATCTGGATGAAATTTGGCACAGAGATAGATTATAGTCTGGAAGAACACCTAGGCTACTTTTTACCCCGGAAAAATATACGGTATAAAATAAAAGAATTTTCATACACTAGTTCATTTTAGACATAAGCTGATATGCCAAATAAATACCCAATTAACTATACTTCGTAATGAGTTAATGAATCACAGGATACATTTAAGAAACACCGGTGACCTTGACACAGTTCTTATGATCGTTAATTTTGTTATCAATTGATCTCAATAATAATTAACATGATGAATGTCAATGATTCGGGTTTTTCAATATTTTTTTACTACTTCGTTAGCATAAAATAAATAGCCTAATAAATACAAATCATTAGCAGCAAAGATGAAGTCGGCAACATGTTACCTTAGCATATATTAATAATAATTATCAACATTTACACTATTTGTTAGTCGGGTCATTTACCTTAAATATTTGTTATTTTTATTTGTTTTAAAATACATATTTCGAAGTTTCTTTTTAGTGGAACGTAATTGTAAAGGGCTTAAGTACATTAAATGTACACTGACATCAACTAACTGAGTTTAGCTGGTTAAGAGAAATCAGAATACTCAATGACTAAACTTCGGCCGACACGGGAATCGAACCCAGGAGCTCCAGATGTTTGACCGTACATGTCAGCCACTAGACACCAAGGTAGTCGTACCTTATATAATCTCTGACGAACTGTCGGGCATGAGGTGCTTTCCCGAAGTCGACGTTCCGTGTGAGGACGCGGCGTACAGGCGGGGCGAGCGCGGGCAGCGGCGCGGCGCGCGGCCGGCGTCGGCACAGTCGGGCGAGCAGCGCGCAGAGGTCACCATTGACGCAACGCTCGGCCAACAGCGGCGCAGCCACACTTGCTACGTTCTCTGCCCATTCTTCCCAATCTGAACTATCTTTATTCTGTAATCAGAATTTACGTGTATTTTTATTGTATTATTTTCAATACGCTATTAAATTTAATTATAACATAAATGTTGTTAGAGTCGTATTTTGTAGTTTAAAATTCATTATTTTATATTATCCAGAATAATAAAAAACATAATATAATTATTTTACACCTTATAAAATCATTTGGATTGGTTTGCTTTTTAGTGAACATTATATCGTATAATCATTGTTTATCGAATCACTTCCAAAATCACCAAAGTCGGTGAACAAAATGTCATATGTCAACAAAACGTGTCATCTAATTCAGATACATCACTACATATTATAAAACAAAGTTCTCCGCCGCGTCTGTTTGTTTGTCTGTTCGACCGATCGTGAACTCAAAAACTACTGCACCGATTTTCATGCTGTTTTCACCAATGGATGGAGTGGTTCTCGGGGAAGGTTTAGTATATAATTTGTTAAGTTTTTGTATACATTGGCTAAAATATAACGATATTTGTTGGAGGTGTGGGAAAAAAGAAGCCGTCTGGGAACTTTCAACGAAAACGCTGCCTTTGATATATGACAAAATAATGTATGGTGGAATTGTGTATCTTATATAGGTCTACAGAAAAGTCCACGATGGCATATCTGTCTATCTCTGGATAACATACTATATCCATGTTACTTTAAAACGTAGCTACGCTACTATTATTATATTCGTAGACTTACCAAAACCTTTAGAATGATTAAATTTAGATAAAAAGCAAGGTCACCTCAAGAGAAAATAAAAAAATGTAAATTTCTCGTTGTATTTTTTTTACGATTCAAGTGTATTTGGATTTGCGATTGTTGGCAGAACATTTATACGAGTAGCATTGCAACATTGAGGTCGTCCTTCTACCCGACTTACTTTTTCGGTAATTAAGGTAGATAATAGATATGTGCAAAATCGTCACACTTACTTGCACACGCCAGGTTTTCAATATTAATGACAGCGACGGTCGTTCGTTACTAATTTATCGTACGTAATGTTTGACGTCACAATTTACATAATTTTGTATTTTTGTTTCTCTATTACTATAACACTTACCGCTTATAGTAATTAAAGCTGTATTTGTTAACGAGTTGATAATGATCCTCGTAGATAAATACATTAACTACGTCAATGCCTCTCAACGACTACCTGCTTATAACAGAATTTATGGTTGAAAGACTGTTTTAAGAGCGCCCGCGCCGTGAGGAAGTCAATAGTTTATAAGATACAGAACACAAAGCAGCAGCCACGTTTCACAAATATTTACAAGTAATTTGAGCTCAAATTTAGCTTACGTACGTTGACGCCAATGTGCAATGTGAAACTGTTTGTTTTTTGTTTATATGGGAGAAAAGCTCTAATAATAGATCGATTTGAAACACTAGAAAATACAACGTAGTATCCATTTCATATTTATATTTCATAATATAAAATATGAAAAATCCAGATTATCATCGTCCTATTTATCATCGTCCACGTAAATTTCAATTGGATAGTTTGTATGGTAGGGAAAGTGTGGCCACAAAAATAATAGTCTCTGTTGTTACTACAGAGTATTTTATTCCGACTAATGATAAAAGTAAAATAATATTCATGTTATAGGTATAAAAAGTAAAAATAATGTTGTTTGAAGAGCATGTGGGTCAAGCTGAGGGCGATAACTGTTATGGTATAATATTTACTACAAAAACACAATAGAAATCTATTAGTTCCCACGGGAACCGTTCATTTTTCCCGGATGAAAAGTAACCGTTTGTTTGACCGGCAATATAAGGTATCAGAATGTTAAATTTTACTAAATTAGGTGCATAAGTTGTATAAGTTACAATAGTTTTTTAACTATCCCACGGGAACCATTATATTTTCCGGGATAAAAAATATCTAAGACGTTGTCCGGGGATATAAGGTACCACCATGCAAAATTTCATTTAAATCGGTCCAATAGATTCGGAGATTAGCCCGTACAAACAGACAAACAAACAGAGAAACAAAAAAATTGAAAAAGTCTGGATTTGTTCTATTTGTCTTCTTACATCCCCCTGACTCGCGATGGCTTATTATTAGCGTATTTCATGTATAACTTTGGTGTTTCTATACCGATTTCTATGATTCTTTTTTATGGAATAGTTTATAATGTTAACTTTTTTAATTAGGGATAACTGAGAGTGTTATAAACGTAAGAGTAGACAAATATAAATCAGAAAGCTTCGAACTGCTAAGCTATCGGGAGTTACACGTGTTATTGTGAGTCAACCATAAAAGATAGACATATGCTGTCGTTGGATATTTTTTATATAATTTTAAGGAGAACATTTCCGTCATACATGATTTCTGTGTAGCTTTAACCATTAAGGTAGCACACGCGACGGAAGCTTAAAAAATGGAGTAACTTCTCCTGTTTTCCCAACATTTCCCTTCACTGCTCTGCTCCTATTGATTGTAGCGTGATGAAAAGTATACTATAACCAGCTCAGGAGTATGAAAAATAATTGTACCAAGTTTCGTTAAAATCCGTCGAGTAGTTTTTGTTTCTATAACGGTTATACAGACAGACAGACCGACAGACAAAAATTTTACTGATTGCATTTTTGGCATCGTTATCGATCCCTAATCACCCCCTGATAGTTATTTTGGAAAAATATTTCATGTACAGAATTGACCTCTCTACAGATTTATTATAAATAATAGATTTATCGATGCTGTCAATTAAAAGTTCTCCATAGTCCATACTAATATTATAAATGTGAAAGTGTGTTTGCTTGTTTGTCCTTCTTTCACGTCGAAATGGAGTGATGGATTGGAGTGATTTTTTGTGTGGAGATACTTGGAGGGTTGAAGAGTGACATAGGCTACTTTTTACCGCGGAAGATTATCTAATTTCCATGGGAAAACACGTTGTAATACAACGCAAAAAATATTTATGATCAGAATTACTTGAAACTTGGTATTAATGCTCTTCAATAAAATTAAATAAATACGTGTTTATTTAATTTTATTGAAGAGCATTAATACCAAGTTTCACGGGGTGAAATAGGGGGAAAAGTTTGTACAAAACTACCTTTTTAGAAATTTTTTTGTCATTTTAGCGCGAGCGAAGCCGCGGGATCTGCTAGTATGTTATACCTATATCTACATAACGAAACTACTGTAATAAATGGAATTGCGTCAATGACTGTTTCTGTTTTTGCATATATTTAAAGCACATATAATTGTAGTGAAGTCAAGGACTTTAAATATTTTTTTGTTTTGCTTCCTTGTAATCTTTTTAAAGTAACAATTTCATTGATATAAATATCTTTTGCTAAATAATTTGACTTTCATTTGGCTTATACCTTACACTTTGCTTACCATTACAATTATATGTTTGAAATCTCACCTCTGAGAGTAGGTCGGTGAGAATTTGCAGCGGAGCCCGCGTCACACTTTCGTCTTGCAAAGGAGTTGTCATCGCAAAGTCCACCATGTTCTATACAACATAAATAAATAATACTAAATAATGATTTAGCTTAGGTGTACTAATTGGCACTAACATAATTTTTTTCTATAGTTTTTTATTTTTTTCTATTTAATTATAAACTTTGTATATTAAGAAGAATTACGATATCACCAAAAGCTAATGCATGTCGTTAATTATATTATATTCTCCTTCATTTAAGTTTAATGTGTGTAATCAATTTTTATTTGACTTTAAAGCTATATTTAACTTAACGTTATGAAGTAAGTATAATGAAGAATTAAATGAACAACCTAACAACTGCATTGGTTTGGAAAATTATAATATCACAGTTCATTGCAGCTGTAAATTGTGAAAATAAAATTAAACACACTTATACCAACCTTAAGTTCTTTTAACACAACCTCTTTCCTCACGGACTTTGTTAAGAAGTTACGATATCTAATCATGTTTCTCTGCAAAAGGAAATTGCTGTTTATTTATTGCGGAAATGTTTCATACAAACAAAGGAAAAGTAAATAATTTTACTCACTCTCCAAACAATTGAATAGTACCATTGGTCCCTAGTATATGCGTCATTGGCCTAGGAAAATAAGAGAAAACAAAGTTATTTATAACTGATATGACATTATAGAAATTGTAACTTAGTTTGAATAAAATACGAACTTGTAAGAGAAGGGAACCATGAGGCATAACGATACGTAGACAGTATTTCCTCGCTGGATCCCATCTTGAAATGCAGTACACCTCTTGCATGCAACTGTACGAGAGTGGATGTTCAAGCAATCCCGATGGCTGAAATAAAGTTTACAAATTATAATTTCATGTCAATTTAATAAGCATTATAAAATAATTACTATATTTAGTATGAATTTTTCAAGAAATGAGCACAGTAAAATGAAAGTCATAAGAAAGTTCTGTCTAGGTATTTCTTTTTTGTCGTTTATCGTTGACTCTTACTTCTTAGATATGGTTTTATAAAATATTAATTATTAAAAGTAAGTCCTTGACGCTGTTTCTTTATAAATTATAATTCAAAACAAGCCCATGATTTCGTCAACTGGGAAAGAAAATGAAAGAGACACCTTACTACTTCCTAGGTAATCGTCTTATGTACCTAATTAATAATTTTTATTTTTGTGGATATATAATCGACTCTCCCCTACTTTTAAACAAAGTGAATCTTGCGTGTCACAGATTAGGTGCACGAAATAAACCTCTTTTCAACCGACTTCAAAAAGGAGGAGGTTCTCAATTCGACTGTATGTTTTTTTTTTTTTTTTTTTTTATGTTTGTTACCTCAGAACTCCGTCATTTATTAACCGATTTGGACAATTTTTGTTTTGTTTGAAAGGGTATACTTCCAGATTGGTCCCATTTAAATTTCAAAAAAAAATACCACCCCTAAGGGTGGAAAAATTGCTAATAATGAATTTAACCTACTTTTAATTGTCATATTGACTTGAATCTTTGCAAGTGTTTCTATTTCCGTTGATAGTACAGAGGTTCGGTATTGTTGACCTGATCTGATGGTAAGGCCAGAAGGCGGATAGGTGGAACTCTTCAACGATAAATAGTAGATACTTCGAGTTTGGGCTTATTTTGTTTGATTCGACAAGCCTAACATGTTAGAATGCTTACTTTGCTACTACTGTCTACACTAAAAAGGGAAAAATAAAAACTTTTTAACAAAAAAATAAAAACCGACTTCAAACAAAAGCACTAAAAAGTAAAAAATAACTGATTGGTAGTTTTCATTTACTATACATACCTAATCAAATATTTTCGAAGTCGGTGTGCTTTGCTTTGTATGGGCTGGCACCGATTTCGAAAATATTTGATTAGGTATGTATTTAATAGGTAGGCTTTAATTACTTAGCCAAAGCACACCGACTTCGAAAATATTTGATTAGGTATGTATAGTAAATGAAAACTACCAATCAGTTATTTTTTACTTTTTAGTGCTTTTGTTTGAAGTCGGTTTTTATTGTTTTGTTAAAAAGTTTTTGTAATACGTAAGGCTAAAACGAAGTATGCTTCAAATAATTTTGTATCTTGTGCATGTAACAAGTTTAATTTAAAATATTGTAAATTAGATATCTTTCATCTTAAATATAATAGTTTAAAAAAATATTGCAAAACTTAATTTATAATAGGTAGTTTTGCTGTAGGTTGTATGTATATTGTTACATTGAACTTTTAACTGCATAATTACTTGACGTTGTATTATGTGGTAACATTAAGTTACTTTTAAATTCAAAATTTTTATATAATATGTATCATCTTATCGTGGTGGTAAGCTTTTGTTTATGTGTTGGAAATCTGTGGAAACTTAGTTGGTTTTTAGCATTTTTTTATATCATTTAGAATGTAATTATTTATTGTACTGTTTGTTTCCCTTGAAAAGCTAATAAAAAAAAACTTGCTTGAGTAAGTATTTAGATCGCTAAAAAACTTATCACTAAAGAGTCTTTATAATCGTCATCTAAATCAATAACAATTAAACTAGTCATCTATATTCATCGAGGCCGCCAGTCAACCAATTTTATCAAGCGTCGTCATTCATTATGGCTACGTATGAAGATTAACAAAAGAACGTACATATGAATGAGCACATTTTTAACTACATACAGATGTACATATTTTTCCGTCTACGTTATTTGTTTAGCTGACAGATAAAAAGATATTTAATATTTTGTGTACCTTATATTATTTGGTAATGTTTTTGAATGTGGTAGAAATTCGCTTCTTTTACCACTAGTGCAGGAGACGATGTGTGTGTTTGTAAGCCCTACTATTGCTAGTAAGTACATTCTACTTGTCTGACGTTACGGAGCAATGGCCGGTGGCCCGAGGTTGTTTGTGACGTCACTTGTGCTCATCCCATGCATGTTCGACAGCCCGGCCGGCGCGTTTGGCCTTTTAATTCCACAATACATACGAGTATCTTGTTTACCTTCAATTGTTTCGTATTAACAAAACCATTAACTTATGTGTATTTCATACAGTAATATTATATGTAGAAAACGCATAAACATATTTAATACATATGTAATTTATTATTATTATTCTTTATTGTTATTCATGTCCTAAGTACAGTTAAAAATTACATTTATTTATATGTGTAACGAAAATAAAACTATGTATTTGTAAACGTGACCCTGTTACTCGTTTGAACCTAGTTTAGATGGTAATAATGAGGCATAAACATAGTGAATTATAACGTTTTTATTGCTTTGCTTTCGATAACGTACCTATAGGTATAGGCAATATATTTACGTAAAGTCCAATGCTGCATTGCAAATAAAGTGCGCGTTTCAATTTTCGTTTATGTATTAGTGACGTCAAAGTATGCCTGTTTCTAAAAACATAGCAGTGTTTTAGGCAGGTGCATGTAAATATTTATATCTTTATATCACAACAGTGCCGGTGAATATTATCACATTAGTTCTCGTATAAAATATTTTATAGATTCCTTATCTCCAATATCTATATGGAATAAATATAATAAAATAATTGTAACTAAGCCGAATCTGTACATTAAATATTTTTTGGAAAATCTTATTGAAATGGACATTATTATTGACACAGAGGCCTAATCTATAGTTTTTAGAATTTTTGTCTCTGTCTGTCTGTGACCGCATCACGGGAAAAACACTGGAGGGATTTTGATGAAATTTGGTATAATGATAGCTGGTTATCCGGGGCAACGTATAGGATACTTTTTACTGCGGTAAAACATCTCATCTCTGAGGAATCTAAACGTTAAAATATAAGTAGGGACGAGGCCGAGCGGAGCGAGCGTGAGTGGCTAGTATGGAATAAATAATTTAAACTAGACATTACCAAAGGAGCTAATGACGCACGAATGTGTTGTTATCTGCTCATTGACCTCATTGAGTTTATGATAAAAAAGCAATTGTATTACATAAATGTGAAATGTATAATTTAAAATTTTGTAATTTCAAATATAAAACAATATAAATGCGTTTACAATAAAAAAAACTTTACTAGCAGAACCCACGGCCTCGCTCGCGGTAAAACTACAAAAAAATCTCTAAAAAGTTTTCATTACTCATTACGTCATTAAGTTTTTATTCATATAAACTTTTATCCCCCCTTTTACCCCCTTATTGGATGAATTTCGAAAAATGCTAAAACACTTATTTATTTAATTTTATTGAAGATCAGTAATACTAGTTTTGAAGTAATTCTGATTATAAATATTTTTTTGGATTGTATTTTAACGTGTTTTCCCGTAGGAATTACATAATTTCCCACAAAAAAAGTAGCCTGTTCTCTTCCTCATTCATTCTCCATCTCTCCAACTACCTCCACACAAAAAATCACGCCAATTCGTCATTCCGTTTCGATCGAAAGAAGGACAAACAAACAAAGAAACAAACAAACATACTTTCACATTTATAATATTAGTATGGATATCTATAACTGTAATTACCAACAAATAAACAGAGTGTGCTGGATGGCTCGTGCGGATAAGATATAGCAATGAGATACACTGCCCAGTTTGGATTAATTGATTTTATTGCAGTATAATGTAATATATTACGTGAATTGTATAAACAAACTAGAAAAACAAAAACAAATCTATCCCTTGGGAACCGTACATTTTTCCGGGATAAAAAGTAAAGTATAATCTATCTCTGTGCCAAATTTCATCTAAATAGGGTGGTTATACATGGTGATATATCCAATATGGGATGGTTTTATACATTTTTTTTTATTAAGGAGAAATATAGACCTTAACAAGTTTGTATGTCTTGCATAATCTATAACTTACAAAAAGTACCCGTAACGTATGTGATGAGTAATCGGATTGACGTTTATTTATACAAATGTGTTATATATATATATTACTAGCTATGTAAATATATACAAGTGTTAGTGAAAGTATGTATAAGCTATATTTACTACTACTAGGTAGGTAGTAGGTACTTAAAAAATTAATACCTATTTTAAAAAATACTCGAGTATAGTACCGTTAGTGTTAACACAGTCTTATTAACAATTTAGTACGGTCAAATATATTCCCCATAGAGGCACGAACACAATAAAAATATTTGATTAGTTACTTACAGTTTTTGATACAATGTGATCTTCTAATAAACATAGCATATGGGTTTCCCATCTTCTGAAAAATTTTGCACCAAGTATTTTGTCTACAACGGTTCGGGTATGTTGAAAACAGCAAACTCTGAGGGCTCCTTCACTGGCTAACTTGTAGCGCGGACCAGGCGGCGGCCCTGGAGTACCGGCTGAGTTCCCACTTTTAGTTCCACAACTTTCAGCACAGCATTCTGGACTCGATCCCTGTTAAAATGTATTATTAATTTATAATTCAATAAACGTTCAATTACTATTCTAAGTAATTTAACTTGTAAACCAACTTACAAAAAAAATGACACTAAGTAAATCTATACTTCAATATTGTATCAAACATGACAAATGTATTTTTAATATATATGTATAATGACTAAATAAAGCCTGTCTTGGTGGTAAGAAAGCAAGCTCTCTGGTGCATTTGCAATGCCGGTGGGCGGTGAACAAAGGTCTTCAGCAATGCTTTAATGATAATGGTGCTTGGTTTTTTTTTTCGCTTTTCTTGCATTGGATCTTTTGGCATGAGACAAAACTAATGTCCTCCCTTTTTTCCCTTCCCATAAGGGATGATTTCCGGAGTAAAATCTCCCAGGGTCTTTCAGTAATAAAAAGATACATTATCCACTATAGTGCATATTCCATTACTAACTTTAAAGCTGGTCAGGAATTATAAATAAAGAAATTAAGAAATAATGAGTGAAATTCTACGTTTTATTATTCTTTTTTTATTTTAGACTCAGTAGTGTCAGTTGAAAAAGTGTGGAGAAGAGAAGAGGAAGTAAAAGAATATGCATTTCTTTTTTATAAGTATACTAGCGGCTCACCCTCGCTTCGCTCGGGTTCGCCTCTAGAAAAACACTAATAAAAATCTATTAGTTCCCACGGGAACCGTTCATTTTTCCCGGATGAAAAGTAACCGGTTGTTTGACCGGCAATATAAGGTATCAGAATGTTAAATTTTACTAAATTAGGTGCATAAGTTGTATAAGTTATAATAGTTTTTTAACTATCCCACGGGAACCACTATATTTTCCGGGATAAAAAATATCTAAGACGTTGTCCGGGGATATAAGGTACCACCATGCAAAATTTCATTTAAATCGGTCCAATAGATTCGGAGATTAGCCCGTACAAACAGACAAACAGACGAACAATATCACACGGGAACGTAGTCGAACGGGATAAAAAGTATCCTATGTCCGTCTCTGGGTTCTAAGCTACCTCCCCGCCAATTTTCAGCCAAATCGGTTCAGCCGTTCTGGAGTTATAAATGACTAACACGACTTTCTTTTATATATATAGATATTTTTTTCTTTTAATTACACCAGTAAGCAAACGTTGGTGTTTTTAACATTTTCGGATTATATGAAATTAAATGTTGAATCTAATTAGGTATATTAAATAGTTTGACATAAAATTCTTTAGGTAAAGTTACATGAATACTATTGGTTAAATATTTACTGTAGGTGGGAGTTTTTTGCCAGACCATTTACTAACAAGATAAACGATATAAATGCTATTTACATAGGCTTGGGTTTCCGCAAAACATGTTCCATATGATATACAAAGTTTTAATTCATAACAATCACAACATTTCAATTCATCGTATTTTTCAAATTGCGTACGTCAAGTTTTCGTACACAGTTTTCGAAATAGAATTATTAATATAAAAATAACAATATGGAAGCTTGATAAAATAGACCGTATTATACAATAATATTTACACATCAGTCATTAGTTACAATACAGAAGTTATCCTGTTTAATTTTTAGGTGGATTTCCCAACAACCAGACGTCATACACGTACGCACCGCCTACATATTATATAAGTGTATTTCCCTTACCCACACAAAATATGTTGATAATTGTATGATGTAAATCAATAATGTTTGACTTAGTTGGGAACTGATATAGCTTTACGATAATGGATATCATGTTATATGAGGAATTTTAGATCATCGAACTATATAAGAAAAACGTAAATAGTTCTAAAATTCATTGACATCATTATTATTATAATATACAATACTAATGATCTACTTTTGCTTCGCTGGGGTGCCTCCCTACGTGCCTGACAGTCAGGCGCGGATCCAGAGTTAAATTTTGGGAGGGGAGGGGCGTCATAGGCTGAAATATACATATAATAAAACAGTAACTTAGCAAAATCTGACCCGGCACGGATCTAGTTTTCTATTTTGTGTGGCGACGGCTTTTAGAGCGCGTAAAAATTTAGCAGGTATGTAAGGAACAAAAAACGTTGAAAAATAGTTTTTTTTTAATTTCTGGCTTGTTGTGACATCTTATCGAAAAATATTCTTTATATAAATTTTATCAAAATCTGTCCAGTGGTTTTCTCGTCATGAGGTAACAGACAGACAGACAAAAATTCTAAAAACGGTACGGGGCGATAGCCTAGGTTATAAAAATTCTGACAAAAATAAGAAATAAATCCATGTTACTTGGTGAAGTGATATATTTTATTTATTGAGTCATGGCTAAAAAACGTTTAGTCAGAAACTTTGACAATTCATCTTTCAAAAAAAACCTACTATACTACCCTAGACAAGTTATTTAAAAAATATTTTCAAACCCGCTGACGCGGCTTAGTTTCGAAACACTATGTATAGGTCTTTTATAAAAAACCCGCAATTTTTATATCTTACCCGAAAAAACGCTCAGTACCTACTGTTTAATTAAAGCGGGTGACATTGATTTTTGTTAAAAAAATGAAATTGTAACTATGATTGCGAAATTACTGTCATTTAGACACAACGAACTATAACTGGAATTTCACAGACTGTTGAAAGTTTCTAGGAAGGAGAAAGGATTAGTACGTATTATATTAATACGATGATTTTCATTTAGGTTCATGTTCAAGAAACATCTTTATATTTTACTCGATTGATTTAATAAAATTTAAGTTAAGCATACCTATATACATATATTTAAGAAAATGTATGTAGGTATTTAAGAAAGTCATATAGTATATGTAGTGTATTACTGCCTCGGTGGTGTAGTGGCTAGCATGTACGGCTGCACACTCGGAGGTCCTGGGTTCGAGTCCCGGGTCGGGCCAAGTTTAGTTATTGAGTCTTTCTGTATAGTAAGTCTCAGTAACAGCCCGGAGTTGGGAAGTTGGCGGTGTTTCACCCCCGTGCCTCGGAGAGCACGAAAAGCCGTCGGTCCTGCGCCTTAACTCTCACTGGTCGTGTCGAGCAGTCGTCCCACCGGAGTAATGAGAGTGACAGGAATAGAGAGTGCACTTGTGTCTGCGCGTACATTTGTGCACTATAATATCTCCTGCGCAGATAGCTAGTCTCAATGAGATTGGTCGCCGTAGCCGGAATCGTCTAGGAGAACATCATCTAGTATCCATAAAACAACCCTGTAGTTTACCATGGAACTAGATGGTGGCGTGTGTTAATGTCCCAACATATTTATTTATTTATTCATCTACATTGTTTAAAACTTACTGAATATAAAGTTAGAATTTACTATGTCCACATTGTTAGCGAAAGTGCATGAAAACACATGTAGTTTGTAATGTAACATAATAGTAGTACAATTAGTTAATCAGCGTACATATACCCACTGTAGGTGTGGCTGTGTTTATCCGAAATGAAATTGACATAAACGCTCACTAACTCGCAAATAAATGTGTGTTTTGACGTCAGCTACAACCTTGGTCTTCGATATTATAGGTAGGTAATTTAATTATAAAATAATTAATTATTATTTATTATGTGACTCCGCCTGCGAACGTATTTCATTTAGTTCTCAACCCCGTAACATTATCTGTATGTACCGGAGTGCAAACAGGGAAGTTAACAAGAAGATGACTTAGCTGGATACATTTAAGAAGAATCTGGGTAGCGTTTTAAAATTCAGTCAATCAGTTCTTGCGCAATAATTTAAGAATTTTTCGTCTGAAAATAGTTTTTCTCACTTTTTAAACATATAAACAGTTAATTGAATTTAAACTTCTTTAGGTGTGACTGAGGGGTGAGTCAATACATTGGAAAATTGAGTGTCGCGGAAGTGTGTGTCCAATTTATTATTAACTAACGACTCACCCTCGCTCCGCTGGGGTTCGTCACTAGGTGATTCTTTAAATTGACGTAACTTTTTTATTTATGAAACGATTGAAATAAAACAAATACTAAATGTTAAGTGAAGCTTACCACAATATGAAAACCGCATCCAAATCGGTTAAGCCGTTTTTGAGATTAGCGCGCACAAACACACAGAGAAACAGACAAAAATTCTGAAAATCATTGTTTTGGGTTCTATTGCGCAAATAAAGACCCGCAATGATAGTTTTTCTCAAATACATATCTTCCATTTACAGACAGCGATCAGTTACACTTTTATTATATGTATAGAATTTAGATAGATTAGCGAATAACGTTCTATAGTTTAGTATAGATTTACTCAGAGATGAGATATTTTCCCGTAGTAAGAAGTATCCTATATGTTGACCCGGATAATCAGCTCTCATCATATCAAAAAGCCGTGTCCCGGATAGTATGGGTTCCGGGCCATGACGAGTCCGGAAGTAGTTCCACCAGTTAGCACCAGTGATGGGTTGCCTATAATCATACGCCCACTTCGAATAACAATGAAACTATTTTTCCGTGAATGTACTTGTGAAGCTCTATCCGTTAGTATGTGATTCATTAATGGACGCACCATGGCCCAAATCGGGACACGTTCTTTCATCAAAATCTGCCCAGTGGTTTTCTCGTGAAACGATCACAGACAGACAGACAAAAATTCTAAAAACTATAGATTCGGCCTCTGTATCGAAAATAATGACTATTTCAATAAGATTTTCCAAAAAATACTTGATGTACAGATTCGACTCGAATTTTATTATATGCATGTACATAGATAATTTAAAAAATCTATATATATAATAAAATTGTAACTGAGTCGAATCTGTACATTAAATATGTTTTGGAAAATCTTATTGAAATAGACTTTATTATCGATACAGAGGCCGAATCTATAGTTTTTAGACTTTTCGTCTGTCTGTCTATCTGTTACCGCATCACAGAAAAACCACTGACGAGATTTTGATGAAATTTGGTACAGTGAGAGCTGGTTATCCGAGTCAACATATAGGATACTTATTGCCACGGGAAAATGTCTCATTTCTAAGAAACAATACAAAAACTGCAATGTAAGAGTATACTAATATGTAAAACCTA